TGCTGACAAAAAAAGACGTAACAAATGCCGAGAAATATTGCATAAGACAGACCCAAATATCACGGAGACAAACAAAGGGTGAGGCCTATTCAAACACTCAATCATTTGAAATTAATGGACACGAAGTCTACCTTGATGATGATCGAATCATCAGACAGAAGGGACGATTGATGTGCAGCCAAGAATTCAGCAAGCACGTCATAGTAATTGCAAATGATGGGCATTTTACGGAGCTTCTAATATGTCACGTGCATAAAATGGTATTACATGGAGGAGTTCAGGCGACGCTGGCGCAACTTCGAACTAAGTTCTGGATATTGCAGGGTAGACAAGCAGTGAAAATAGTTCTGAACAGATGTGTCGTCTGCAAGAGGCGTAACTCCAGACCGGCCACTCAAAACATGCCTCCACTCCCGGCAGACAGAGTCACCAAAGCAGAGCTATTCAAAGTTATGGGAGGTGACTTTACAGGACCTCTTTACGCAAAGGACAAGTACCAGATTGTGAATTAATATGTACTGATATTCACCTGCGTGGTAATGAGAAGAGTACATGTTACCAACGATTTGTCATCATCAAGTTTTCTAGAAGCATTCGGACCATCTACAGCTCGACGGGGAATGCCTGCAGTTATCTAATCGGACAACGCTAAAACATTTACAAAAGCTGGAACAGAAAATCAACAGTCTTAATGGATTAATGCAGTGTCCAACAAATTAGTGGAAAACGATAGCTGAGTGTGCCCCGTGGTAGGGAAGATTTTACAAGTGCCTCATAAGAAGCCTGAAGACATCGATGCGAAAGCAAATATCAAAAAGTACAGCTTCGGTAGAGGAGCTACACACTATTGTAGCAGAAGTTGAAGGAGCACTCAAAAATAGACTGTTGACTTACGTGTATGGAGAACTTAATGAGCCAATGCCACTAACGCCGGCAGACATCATAGGCGGACGGCGACAGCTTCAAGACGGACAAACAAGACTGTACAACGGTGACATTGAAGAAGCATGGCAAAGCAGATGCAAACTCGTGCGAGCTTGGTGGAAGAGATGGAATCGAGAATACATCAAGGAAATAGGAGCTATGGTCAAAGCCAAGACGCGGCAAGCAAAACCACTCTCACGGGGTGACATGGTGTTGGTTGAGGACAAGGCTCCAAGAACATTTTGGAAAATGTGCCAGATTTAAAAACTCTATCCTGAGCGAAACGGAATAACAAGAGCTTGTCTCCTTCACACAGACAAAAAAGAACTTGTAAGAAGATCTATGAACCACATAATCCCTATGGAGCGTTCTTTCAAATAGCCCGCAAGAGCTCATCCTGTTGCAACTTGGGTGGGCGGGAGCCTATAAAATATCATCTTCAAATGCCAGAAGAAGAATAAAGAAGACTGCTGCCTGGAGCGAGCGTATGCTACTTCAATTCTTCTAATAAACCGTATTCATTTGAAGCAGTTCCTGGTCTCGATTGTCTTAATAGTATCATAGTGATAAGAGACAATACGAGCACAACTGGAAAATTTAGTAGTAACGAAAAAATACAGGTGTGACTGCAAATTGAAATCTCTTTACGCATGTATATGTGGCTTTTCACAAGAACACAGCATACCTGAGCATTGTTCCAACATGCACTACTGCATCGCAGCAATACTCTCATGAAATGACCTCAACAAAAATGATGATTACCAAGATTTAAAAAAAAGCTCCATTTCTAGCTGTAATATGAGTGAACTCCTGCTAGGATCTGGCAAAATTCCAGTTAAATATTCATCCACTTTAAGTTGAATTATCAAATCGTAAGTCTTTCCACCTGTAAAAATTCTCATATTAATAATCTATTTGGAAGCAGCACTTGTTCCTCTGGGAATTATGATATGGGGTATTTAATGACATGCAATGACCAGAAGCTGTTTAAGAGTGCATGAATGAACCTATGAATGAGGTTGTGATGGCAGTGCCACTGTAAGGGCATCATCACTTGCAATTAATAAGCACCTTTTGAAACGCATTGCTATGGGGCATATAACAGCTTAGAAGACTTATGTGTTGCTATGAACATGGTACTGAGTGGCACACATTTTCGCTAAGGGACATGGAGTCATGAAAGAAGCTTAACTAAACACAAGCACCAGTGTTGCATTGCACTCATAACCACAGTCCCAGCAGGCTGGCACATGAGGCGAAAAAGGCCGGCCGACATTACTTTGAGTAATTCGGCATCGCAGTGCAAGTCTCAAACCTGAAGGCCATGCTCTGATTTAATGTTTGAGAGGTCTCACTCCTAGCATGTCTACTTCATTGCAAAACTACGCAGAGCACATCTTTGATATATTTATCCACATTAGTGATGCTTTCTTAATTAGTTTTGGCAAATCGTGTTTTGGAACAACACAAGGTAAATTCAACTTGCAGATGCCTTTGTATTCAGACTACAGCAATGTGGTGCTGCATTAGTATGAAAGATATGCAGTGAATTACTCACGTTGCCATGGAGAAGCTTTTCAGAGCATGGAGAAGTTTTATGAAGCATTAAAATGTGTTTAAACACAAAACAACGTGCTGATCTTACATAATTGAGTGTGCCGCTAGGCCTTGGCAAAATCAAGAAATCTATTCATGCCACTCTGTGTAATACAAAAAATTCGTTGTGTAAAATTAGTTTTGCAGAAGCTGATAAGATGGAGAAAATTTGATGAAAGAAGAAAGCAAACTTGTGAGCGGATTTTCTTATAGCTTCATTCCAGCACAATCATTATCACTATAATTATTATCATAATATTCGTCGTTATCTAGAAATTGTGAGCATTCACTCTTATTGTAATAGATTGCTATACATAGCTAGTACAACTCATATGTTGTCATGCAATAAAAAAGTCAGTTTTCTATTCTGCCACCTGTAACCTAATGGAGGGCATAAGGAACCTGTGCTTGGAGATTTGCTGGGTAACTGATTGATTAATATGTGGGGTTTATCATCCCAAAACCACCATATGATTATGAAAGATGCTGTAGTGACGGCCTCCGGAAATTTAGACCACCTGGAGTTCTATAACCTGCGCCCAAATCTGAGCACACGGGCCTACAATATTTCCGCCTCCATCAGAAATGTAGCTACCGCAGCTGGGATTTGATCCCGCGACCTGCAGGTCTGCAGCCGAGTACCTTAGCCACTATACCGCCGTGGCGGGGCTTGCTTGGAAACTGACAGTGAGAAATGCTATATTTTTTATATGCATGCACTGCATATGCACATTGACGAAAGAAGTATCTGATAGAAGTCTGAGGCTGGGCCTGTTGGTACATAGTTTGTAAAATCTATAAACCGAACCTTAAAAGACTCGTAGGGAGGAGAAATTTGGACGATCACACACTGGGACTAGCAACAGCTTAATGAAATAACAGCTACTCAAAAGTAAGACCCAGTGTGTTGTGCTTCGTTTTGTCATATGCCTACTGCACTCACTTCTGCTGTATCATGTACGGCACATGCGTGCCTTGGCTTTCCTTGTGAGTAGCTGTTATTTCGTTAAACTGTTGCTAGAGCGTATATGTGTTTGCCAAATCTCTCTTCATGTATGAACATCTTTCATAACTGGGTTCGTTGGTCTTTTGTAGTATGTGATGCTTGTGTACAAGGCCGTAAAGTGTTTCTATATGTTGTTCTGCGAGAACATCGAGAACGGATATCCCGGTTTTATTCTTAGAAAATAATTGATGCTCTATGTTTTTATAAAGCAAAAACGTACAGTAAATAAATCAACAGCACTTGTGCTAGCTCGCATCAGGAGACCTTCAACTTAGTATTGTAACATATATATCAGTAACATAAGGTGTGTTTATTTTTTTGCATGATTTGCACCGAATTTCCAGAAAAAAAATTCTGCAAATTAGGAAGCCTAGAGAATCAGGTAAATAACTTAATTATATAGATAACTATCTATCTGCCTGCTTGATGTATCTTTTAAAACCTATATACACCGTGGAGAAGCTATAGAAGCTGGTGTATAGCTTTAAAGGCTATACACCATGAAGAAGCCAATAAAACCGGATGCCTGCTTCGTCCACAATGAATGCAATAAATTGTTATTGAATAGATGTAATATACCAGTGTTTTTTTTTTTTATTAGCGCATTCATGTGCACATGCGCACCCACAAAATCGTTTTCACGTACCATGTGAACAGCTGCAATCATAAGTAAATTACGTGTTAGGAAAAATACCTTTTCAGTGCCAGCAACTTTCATTACATATTATGACACCTACAAACTTGTGAGAACACTGGAATCCCTAATTGGCAGGCATAATTCTAGATGTGCGCGCTCAGCACGTACTACGTATAATACGCGCACTCCATGCTCTCTGGCGCGCTTGCCAACACAGCTCAGATCAACAGAAAAGGGCACGTATTTTCGTGTATCTGCTCAATTATTCAACATATACGGGAGCACACATTGAGAAGTACCTTGTCAACCATGACGCGGGTTTGGCAACGAAACCACGCATGTTGTACGTGACCGCTGTAGTGTGTGCTAGATCTGTACCGCTTTCCCGCGCCGCATATAGGATCAGCGCTGACTACCTTGCTAGAAGCGAATGCTGGCTTCACGTTATTCCCACGAATGGAGCTTCGAGGGGAGATCAATCAACACAAAAACTGTCGCATGCTTTTGAGCACATTTGGAGTAACCGCTGCTGCGACATCTCAGCAGTCAAGGTTGGCTGCTCGCTGCGCGTGACAACCAAGCGGGCTAAACTGGCAGGTGTTCTGTGGTTAAGCCTCACTGCAAGTTTTATACACGTCAAGCTGCATGCAACCGTATTACAGAAGTTGTTTCTGCGTTTGTAGGATGCTCGAAAGAGACGGTTACTGCACTACGTTTTATAAAGGCACTCTAGTTTCTTCGAGAAAGCGAAACTTGTGAACGGCCGAGTTTCGAAACGATTGAATGGGCAACGAAAGGCCACTGCGCATGCGTGTGTTTTCGTTGGACGTAATGGAGCCGTACACGGCGTTGCAGTTGTTTCATCGAGTGCATACTACGCTTGTTTTAGACGCGTTGCTGTCATTATATTAGACCATCATGCGGAACAGAGCTCACAGCTGGGTTAAGATCAGCTGTGAGCGGCGGAGTATCTTATGCATAGATACGGAAGCATGTAGATATCATTGTTTCCGATAAGGTTACGTGCGACGCTGCACCGACCGATCGTTTTGCGCAAGTAAGCAGTTTTCGTCATTTATTTACACTGCGAATATAGTCGCTGTTGACAAGAACACTGTTCGTATTACCTACTATCGCGCTCCATCTCGCAGTCTTCTATTGACGAAAGAAATTAGTCCACCTGTTCTACAATGACGATAGGGGCAACCAGGACGATGCATTGCACCCTAGAAGGGCCCGCAAACGCCTTGGCAATTAACCGAGACGCTACTCAGGTCGCAGTCGCAGGACGGAATGGTATGTGGCTCTAAACTCTGCTTCAGATCTATTTTTGTCTTGCTGTCTTTTCACTGATGCCGTATCGTTTGCCTGCATGCCTATCAGTGTTCAAGGTGTTCAGCTTGGAGAACGAGGAATTTCAAGAGAGGCTAAATCTGCGCGTTGGCAAGAATCTCAACCTAAACTTCAGTTGCAGCGATGTCGTTTGGAACATGGTTGACGGTAAGTGTCATGCGAGCGATTGGAAACATTGACGTTTCTTCTAATGAACACGTGCCAATTCTACTTATTTTCTAGACCATATCCTCGCTACCGCGGCCACGAACGGAGCAGTCGTCACTTGGAACTTAAACAAGAGTTCTCGATCTAAACAAGGTAAAATGTTCGGCGCGTTCTCAAAGGCTCGTATAGTGTGAGATGAGGACATTGAGCAATAAACTCTGGCATGAAACCTTGCAGACATGGTGTTCCAAGACCACAAGAGGACTGTCAACAAAGTCTGCTTCAATCCGTCTGAGTCGCATATTCTGTTGTCCGGCTCTCAGGATGGAACAATGAAGTGCTTTCGATATACGTAAACGGGAGGCGGCAAGCACTTTCCACAGGTATGTTTCAAAATTTACCTTGAGCAGCAACTAAGTCAAGGTCAGCTCATGCTAACTCCTATAGCTAGGGAGAGCATATGAATACACAAACCTGCGCTGTCCAGCGGGCCAGGGAGTTTATAGAGAGGCAAGGTCTTCCATTCTCCATTTGAGTGGTCTGGCCAAGACTAGCAACTATCCAGATTTAGCGAAAACGTTGTTTCATTCATCAGGCTGGTGGTGATTGTGTAGTTGTTAGAGCCTTTAAAATGCATTACAAAGTTCCTGTTTAATCTTGACCATTGATGTCATGCTCACCAGCTTTTTTTTTTTTCTTTTTGACCACTGTGCCATCTGAAGCCAGGGAGGTTTGACTTAACCAGGATCTGTGGCTTCATAGGAGAAAACCTCTGCAATTGGCTTCAAAATACTCTTCTTATGCTCAGTCGGCTAATCAAAGGCTGAAAATTCATTATGAATATCTGACACTTAAAATTGTTATGAGGTGACTGTATTTGGCTATTTCTGTGCAGTACAGAAATTTCTCACGTCTAAGAATTTGGTGCAACATGCTGTGACCAGCAGGAAATTTATTCGTGTAAAAATTAATTTCGTTGCTCGACAAAGCTATTCACGTGAATGTCTCACTTTCATAGCACCTGTGTGTGGCTGAGAGCAGTTTTCACGGTGGTGATTTGCTAGAAAGTTCTTGTGCTGACCGACAGCAACTACATGTTGTAATATTCACTGCAGCTCGCTACTGTGCACACAGTGTTTTGCTTCGTGCATCACTAGTACAATAGGAAGTAATTAAGCACTTAACTCTTGTGAAGCAGCTCAGCAGAGGCTGCTTTGTAATATTTGTGACGCAAAGTTTTGGAGGTTTTTACATAGAACACGAATGAGGCTAAAATTGGTTGTTTCAATCTATTTCATAGAGACCAAAATTGTTGGTGAAAGGAGAAAGGTCAAGGACCTGCAGGACATGGTTTTATTTAGTGTTTCATTGTCCATTTAGCTTATAAATTGAGGCCCACCTTTGAACCCTCAAGCTGTGGGTATTAAAACAGTTGCAGAATAAAAAAATGTGATGTTCTGGCCAGTAAGCACAAGTGCACTTCTTGGCAACTACGTGGCAGAACAAAGTTTTAACTCGCTTTCCCTGCTGGAAATTGGCAGAATGGGACTGCCAGACCTAAAAATAAGGTCACCGCTTTCTTTTTTTTTTTTTTCATGTCGAGATAAAAAGACTTGGTCATGTTAGTTGCAAAAACAGGCCTCAGGGCAAATGGCGAATGACTGTACAGCTTGGTGTTTTTAGAAAATAAAAGCTTGTCACACTGCCCTCGGTCTAAGGGAAGTTTATCTGTCGACGCATGTGTGATTATGTGAACAATGGGGCATGCAGTCTCGTTGAATAACTTCTGCCTCGTGCTGCGCAGTTCATCGGAAAGTGTGAGGGACGTACAGTTCTGCCCTCACCACCACTTCACCTTCGCGGCTGTCCAAGAAAATGGCAACGTCCAGCTCTGGGACCTGAGGCGCTCGGACAAATGCGAACGTCAGTTTACGGCACACAGCGGGCCTGTGTTCACATGCGATTGGCACCCAGAGGAGAAACGTTTTCTCGCCACTGGCGGTAGGGACAAGGCAATCAAGGTAAGCGTCGGGTGTACAGAAATTTGGCTTTCAAAAAAGTTGGTTAATCATAATGATATCTTTTATTTAATGTCCCAAAATCACAATATGTTCATGAGACACATTGTAGTGACGGGCTTTGGAAATTTCTACAATGTGGGGCTGTTCAATGTTCACTGACGTCAGTCACACTGTGCATTGGCCTCTAGCATTCGCCTCTATTGAAATGCAACCGCCGTAGCCGGGGCTGAACTTGGAACCTTCAGATCAGCAGCAGAGCACCGTAACCTCTACATCACCATGGTGTAGGTGGTTGTTCATTGAAGAGCGCTTTGGTGATACCTGTCCCATTCATCAGACACATTTGTTACATGCAAACTTGTGATCTTTGTTGAAATTTCTTGGTATGACTGACACGATACCCTGGTGAATTGCCAAACTCTGTGCTCATTAAACGTTTATCTAGGTTGATCTTCTGTGTTCGACATATCACCAGACGTATTCAAAATAGACAGAGTAAGGGTGTTTGTTTTACAGTGATGCTACAAAGGTGCCCTAGAAATTACTGATGCACAACACGAAGTTTGGTTGCTTTTCATGTTGGTGAGGAACTTAGATAAGAGAAAAAAACTCCTCATGTTGTCAGATACTTTGAAGTACAGATTCATTTTCCAGCATTCCTACTCAAGATTTTGTCAAAGTGAAACACTTATTTTCTATACCAATGTCACACTGACTGGGATATATTGGCTGAAACTAGGATGTCACTTGGCTTGAACTACAGCATCTCTGATCAAATATGGTCCCACTAGAAACCATGTCAACTTCGAAGGTATAAAAGTTGGTACTAGTTGTCCAGCTACGGCACTCAACTGCGATGTTTCGTAAGCAGTTTTAGTTGTGCACTGTTGAGTAGAAAATGATTCCGTGGTACAGCACTCCACCATAAGGGAAAGTTGTAGCGCTGTCGTGTTTTGCATGCCCAGAAACTTACACAGGCAGAGACATGTGTTCAAAAACTTCTGTGGAAGTCTGCAAGGTGAAGGAAGTTTTATATAATAGGGAAACAGATGTCTACACGACTTTACTATGAAACTTGTATGTACAGTAGTCACAGATTCAAAATGACATCATATTCTTTTAGATTGAAGGCTGGTATGTGCAATTACGATAGCAAAGCCAAATTGCGAGGAATCTGGTCTGTAAAGATAATGTTGGCTCCAGATGATGCGTTCGGATTGAAATTACTCTGATACGACCGGAATTGAAGACGGGAAACGTGTGTGTGTTGCTTAGCTTTAAATTGTCCTATTTCAATCCCCGAGTACTTTACTGTTGAAAAAAAGTGTGAGCTCTTTCGTGTGGCTGAGGGATTTAAACTGAAGACCATTGTTTTTCAAGTGTAGTTGCTCTGCCATCTGATTCAGAGCTTTTGGTAGGATGGCAAGGCTTGCTCACGAACCAGTCTCACCGGAGGACTTTTCCAGATCTGGGACGTGAGCTACAAACCCGTACTGCACCAGTGCATTCAGACGATCGCCTCAGTGGCACACATCAAGTGGCGCCCTCAGAAGAAGTACCACATTGCCAACAGCTCGCTGGTGGTGGACTGCACCATCAACATCTGGGACACGCGACGCCCATACGTGCCTTTTGCTGCCTTCACTGAACACAAAGACGTGGCCACAGGTGCCGTGCCTAGTACATTCATTGCTTTTCGTCGTTATATTTTTATTTATAGGCTTGCCTTCAAGAGATCAATGAGCCATTTGTGGGTGGCATGCTTCTCTACTCTTCTACTACTTTGCTGTAGTTTTTAGTTAGGCACATTAACTGTGGTTAACATGCTCTTTAGTTACAGCTTACTGCCGTCCAGGTAGCGGTGTAGATAACGCTTAAAGGGGTCGGACCATCGAATTTCGAGGCTATAACTAGCCTCTTGCGGGTTTTCTCTGTATGCGAGGACACTACACACGAACAGTTGGACACAGCAAGTGTTTAGAATATACAGTAGACCCGTGATAATTCAAACTCTCATAATTCATACTTTTGGTTAATTCAAACAATATTCAATTTTTTGGTTGGCTCTCTACACTTTCAATGTATTCAAAAGCCTCTTAATTCAAACTCGTTATTTGATTAATTCATACTTTTTGCAGTTCCATGCCAGAAAATATCTGCTGCATTCCTACTACCATTTAAAAATTTGCATGTTTATATAATCTTAACAGTCTAAAAATGCCAAATAAGTTCCTTAGGCGTTTGAGGAAAAAGGCTTTGCTAGTAAAAAAATGTTTAAATGAAGCACATGTACGGTAAAGCGTTATGCTTCTCAACTTGTATAAAGAGGTTTGTGCTGAGGGCATATATTGCAAATAAGCAGTTGGCAATTCATGATTTTTTTAAAAGGTCTGATCAGCAGTAAATGGCCAATAAACTTGTGGACCTTACAGCTCCGCTTTTTGTTCATTGGGTGCAGTTAGGGTTTAGAAATGCCTAAAAAATTTTTGAATGTGATAAAATCATTGCCTAATCATAATGTGTGGTGTCACTTAGCCCATATTCATATATCTGAGAACTTCTGATAATTCAAACTTCTTTGAAATTCAAAGAAAAATCGGAGTCGACTGTATTTTAATTAACTTCCAAGGTGTACCTAAATGCTCATTCTCCCGATCGAAGGCCCCTTGCCAGCGCGTCCAACAATGACGTAGCTCTATAGGAAGTATTGTGAAAGTAGTAGTGACGTCACATAAGAACTGTAGCGAGGTTAAAGGCCTCCAGACCTCCACCATGTACATACCGACAAAGCATCTCGGGTGCCGCAGCAAGCGGGGCATTTGCTTTGCCAGTATGTACATGGCGGAGGTCTGGAGGCCTTTAACCTCGCTGCAGTGAGCGGTGCGTTTGCTTTGCAGCTGCTCATGTGGCACGTGTGTGCGAGAGCAGACGATACTCAGCACGACGTGTGTCACAGCTTCGTGTGGTCACGTGACCAAGCCACCTGCACTGCTACATCACTCCCCCTGCACCCAGAAACTGAAATCGAAAATTGTCCACATAAATGAGATGATATGTAGGCTTGTGTGAATATTCGAATGCTTCGAATAGCATTCGAATATTCGAACAAATATTCGAACGAATAGTAGGATATTCGAATTCGCTTCGATTCGAATTTATATTATTGAAGAAAATTTCGAAGTATTCGCAAGGAATGAAGAAATGCATATTGACCCGAATATATTGTCTGTAAAGGTGGTTTCACTGCAGTCTATGGGTGCTAAACCATGAAAGCACATGTTCAGGAGAAATCGGCTTTGCCGTTAAGCCCCTCTTATAATTTAAAGGGGCCCTGCAACGCTTTTTCAGCATTGTCAGAAAACGCTGCCGATCGATAGTTGAGACTACCGAGGACACACAAGCTAAACAATATAGCGCAGCACGTGGCGCGCGATTCACAATGCATTCTCAAGGTCAGCTAAAAATTGCTCTCTTCTCTCGGAAAATGACTCCACAAGCTCAAAAAGCACGTGTGACGTATTTTCTTTCCCGGTGCCATCCCTCCCTGCCTAGCCTGCAGTGCTTTCGTCGGAACGAGAAGAGAGAATGCACTTGCAGCGTGCAAGAAATCTTTGCAACTACGCGTGTACTAGACGGATTCTAAAAATATTTAGGGCGGTTAATTCATGAGGCAATAAATTAGCTTCTTTAGTGTATTCATTCCATAGCTACTTGAAAAAATGTCGCACGGCCCTTTAAATGAAAATATTACTCTCAAATCAATTCATCTTATTCAGCTTAAAAGCTAGTTATGACAGCTTATATGTTCTAAGTATAATAAATTTTAAAATGTTACCTATTTCAAGGGTTATGACTCTCATTCTGCTGAAAGACAAATCCTGCTACTGCTCAAAGTTCTTTCGACTTCTTTCGAACAAGAAAAAAAAGACAGAATTTGCATAGAGGCCCTATTTCAATTTTTTTTAATATATTGTGCAGGTTAGTTAGGTCATGATAAGTGGGCCCATTTTTCTTTATATGTCATATATACAATTCGAATTCGATTCGAAATTATTCGACCAGAATCACTATTTGTTTCGAATTTGCTTCTGACCTCAATTTCACTATTCGTACAAGCCTAATGATATCAAATTATTTAACCAGAATAAATGGATCTACGTGCATGTATCGTGCTTCGTGGAGCTATAAGAAATGCTTGCAGCAAAGAATGCTCAAGTCACAAATAGGTTGGCACCATCCCCATAAAGTTTTTTGCGCAGTTTAATTTCTATTTGACAAACACAGGATATAAGAAATTGTCAGATAAAACAAAGCAAACCGTGAATTTTTTTCTGCGGATATTGATGTACAAAAACTATGTATCATTGCGATCAAAGATCAGACACTACATCAAACATTTTTATCTTAGCTGCTACAGAACTGTAGCAATACAATTAGTATATACTTTTGAGTGGGATGTTTTTGTTTCTGCAAGTATACTCCACCTCGCAGCGCTTTTAAGGCAGCAGAAAACTGTGGCACAGAACATGTCTGCTTTCACCTCTTATATGTGGGCTGTATGCTTAAAACATTGTCAACAGCATTGCACCACAGGCACTACCTAAATGACAGCTGAAGATGCTTACTATGTATTGTGATAAGGTTGTCAGCGATAAGTCGTACTAGTGCATTTGTTAATCGTTACCATAATGTTCTCATGCTTTCCTGGTGCGACGCAGTTGGCGTCATTGGTCGGCTGTTTTCTGCACTTACAGTTAAAGTGGCAGACCTTTTGTGGCTCATTTCGGTATCGGCCATACCATGACTTAACCCTTATGTGACATGAATTGAATGTAGTAAGCAGTAATAAAGATAATATCTTGAGTTTTACATGCCAAAACCACTATATAATTATGAGGCATGTCGTAGTCGGGGTTTTGACAATCTGGTGTTCCTCACTGTGCAATAACATTGCACAGTACGTGGGTCTGTAGCATTTCAGCGAAATGCAACGCTGCAGTTAGGGTGGTAAGCACTAACTGGTTGGCATACGATAAGCCACTGAGGCTGAGCGGTCGGCAAATACATAAGGCTCTGTAGAGGCTCAGTGAAGGATTTGGGGCAGCGACATTTGGACAGTTAGTGCAATTTCAATTGGTGCATGATAGCAGAGCTTTACTCTATTAAGTGTTCCTCATTGCTTATCAAATGTAGTTGTTAGTATGTGGCTGTGCAGTGTTGTTGTCTTCCTCTGTGGGGAGACCTTTTTTTGTGCTATAGTTTCAACTTCCGATTATACTATATTCTATAGCAATCGCATAGGGCTGTTGTAAGTTGCTGCCAATGCTATTGGTATATAAAAACTCATGTTATGAGGCCAAATGCAATAGCCACTGAGCTACCAGTTCAGTTGAGGTTGCATGGCTATCCCATGGAAGCGAGATGTAACATTCCATCTTCGCACTTTCTCATGCCTTGCCATAGGTTTTGCATGGCGAAACAGTTCTGGCGTGTTGTTGTCCACGAGCAAGGACAGCACATTGTTCCAGCATGTCATGAGCGACGCCATCAAGCCGGCGACACATGCCGACTCACTCTCGGTGGCCCACGTGCTGAACCCATCGGGAGACCTAGCCTTTGCATCTAGCGACCGTTTTTTTCCCGAGCAGAGCAGCAGGTCTCGGCCAGGGCCCGTACACCCGGCATCGGCCAGGTTTCCGGCAGTCTTCAAGAAGAGCACAAACCTTGGCGACAAGTTCAGCTACGCGCAGAGCACGTTATGCGTCTTTACCAACAAGGAAGTTGAGGTAGTGTATCATATAATCATATAAGTACCACTTATACCATGTACCAGTTGCTGTACTGTTATAAGGAGGCTCAGTTGAGGCCACTTGTTACAGTACTCAAGTGCTGCCAAAATTTCATCTGTGTAAGACAGTGATTTGAGGCATGAATATGTCATGGACTCCTTGTGAAACATTATTGCATTCCAATTTGTTGGTATTTGAATTTCGCTTTGACAAGAATTACAAGTTTAAAAAGTTATCAAATAGTACATATTAAAGGTTGACGAATATGTAGACATATTTTAATGCACGTAGCCTTCTTGAAAACTTCAAAAAGTAGTTTCACTGCTGTGTGGAGCTGTTTTGCCACTGAACAACTTACTCAAAGAAAAATCATGCTGCCACGGTTAAAGTATCATATCATCTCCTCCCTGATTAGCTTTGAAACTATCATACGAGCTATTCATGGCAAACTTGAAAACATAGCATACTGTACCCCTTATAGCATGCACCCTACTGCTATAAAAATTTTGCTATTTCTCTAATTTGTGTAGAAATTATTTTATGCTAATAATCATTTGCTTCGGCATCACCTCTAACCAGGAAACCGGTCTTCATATATGCCTACTGACTTGCCATTCATGATTATCGCAGACACTGTCATTGACCTGGCTACGTGAGAGCGCTCTGCGATACCAGCTGTCAGGGCGTCCCTTCGGGGAGCTGTGCGACCGCAATGCCAATGTGGCCGCTGACCTGGGACGCCACCAGGTGGCACAGACATGGCGCATGCTTAAGGCCCTTTACACCCTGCAAGCCAGCGGTCCGGCCGACTTCCTCAATCTTGGTGGCCTTCTCGACTCTGCGGCCAGGGGCGATGCTGAGCGCAGTAAGTGGGTGCCGTAGCTACCGTATGTACCTCAATATTACGGGCGTGAGTTATCTTGGGCCAGGGGTCTCAAACCCACCTCTGCCGGCAGGTCGCCGTCACACAATTTAGTTCCGTAAGTAGTGCCGGGCAAAGTTAAAGACATGAGGAGGAGGAGGTAGTTTATGGAAGATTGTCAGCAAACATTATTCTTTGAAACAAAATCTTTCCATGTCTCAAATTCGGATCATATTAAAGGAAATATGGTGCCAGAATTCTAACATGTCGATAACAATTGCAGAAGTGGCTAAAAATCTGTGTCTATTCTGAAATATCGTTTTCGTGTCACGGTTATGTTGCAACTCGTGGTGGCCATGTGGGATACGTCACGAAAACAATGCTTTAAACCAGGCATGCCAGTCTAGCTCACAAACATACTTACTATTAAGACAAAAAAAAAGAAAAAGTAGGATGAGAACAGTCATGTGCGGGCGTGTGTCATGTGTTTCCTCTGCCTTAGGTGATACATTCCTTGCCTTGTACCAGGCACAGTGCGATAGTTGGTCTCCATTCTTGCCTTGATTCTCCATTCTTGCCTTGAGAATATTTATTTGCTCCATCGTAGGATTGAACCTTGACCCGCAAGACAAGGGTTTTTCTTTTCCCTGTATCAGCACATAGTTTGAGTTTAGTTTATTTACCACGTACAGTTGTACAGTAAGTGGCTGGGACAGAGGAAAAAAGCTGTATAAAACAGCTTGACAAAGCCCCTGTACAAGCAAGGTACCACTCAAAATATATATAAAGAATAAAGCTATACAGTAAAACCTCGTTATACCCTAGTTGGCCGGAGCTCGGAGTACTAAATGGTAGTACTGCTTAACCGAAATAGCATCAGGTCGCTTACTTACCTGTCAAAAAAAGAAACCTTCAGGGAGTGCGATGAAAGAACAAAAACGTGCAGTAATTTATTAACTTCGCGTGACAAAGTCTGTAATCTTCATTTGACAACGTGGTGGCCTAGCAGCAACGACAGCGGCCTCAAACTCACTTATGCTGTAAGCCAGCTTTTCCACCAGCCCCCTCTTCTCGACAAATACCTGCATGACGCTGACGCAAGGCGCAGCTTCGGCCACTGCCGGACCTGGATCACCCGTGTTGTCGCTTTCCATGTCGTCCTCATCACTTATCATTTGGCGACACTTCGACAACCGAGGCAACAATGGCTTCGTCGGACATGTCCGGAGATGTCTGCACATCGCTGTCTGCGTCTCTGAAGTCGGGGGAAAAAAATGCCTTCTGTAACGCCCTGCCGCTCTAACACTTCAGCTAGCAGAGTTTTGCAAGCTTCGTCTACGATGTCCGAAGTCTGGTCGATGCTGTCACTGGCGTCATCTGCGTCTTGCGCACACACACTGAAGCCAGCACGCTTGAAGCGATCTTGAACTGTCGTTGCTTCAACCTGCCGCCACGAGTATTCGAGCAGGTGAATCGCGCCAATCAGGTCGATGGAGAATAATTTGCCACATTCAATGGCGAGAAAAAATATGCGCAGCAGATTCTTCTTGTAGAGCTGTTTTACAGCTCAAATGATGCCTTAGTTCAAGGGCTGGGCAGTCGCTGTTGTGTTTGGTGGCAGAAATGCCAACATGACATTCGTTAGGTTGTCCAGGGCGTAGTGCGCCGAAGCGTTGTCTAAAATAATAACAACTCTTCTGTTCTTAGCCGCAAAACGACAATCGATGAGGCGCACATACTCCTCAAAGAGTTTTGCCGTCATCCTTGCTTTGGTGTTGCTGTGATAGATGACCCCTGATGGCAACCGGGCATCTTTGAAACGTCTAGGCTTCGCCGACTTTCCAATCACGAGGAGCGGAGTTTTGTCGGTTCCAGTCATGTTTACGCAAAACGCCACTGATATTCTGTCTTTTGCATGCTTGCCGCTGGTGCACGTCTCGTCTTTGAACGCGAGCATTTTGTCTGGTAGCAGCTTGAAGAATGGCGCCAATCCATCCATATTAAAGATGTCATCAGGTGCGTAGTCTTCCAAGATGTTCTTCAGCTGACCATTTTGCCACTGCTCCGCGCCATCCACGTCAGCAGCAGAACCTTCTCCCGAAACAGTCTTCGTGGTAATGCCGTGCCTCGCCTTAAATCTGGCCAGCCAGCCATTGCTGCACACGAAGTTGTCATGGTTGAGCTGCGAGGCAAAAACGAGGGCCTTCTCCACGAGCAGGGGTCCGCTGATAGGCAGATTTTTTGACCATGCAGCTTTTAGCCACTTCACCAGCGCCTCCTCTACATCCGAAAACACCGAACCACGTAGCCGGTACCTTTTCGCAGTTGCAGCAGCACTGCCGAGCAACTTCTCTCTGGAATTCCAAATTCCACACACCGGGGTTAACGGCAGGTCCTTTTCGCGTACCAGCGCCGATTTTTTCGTGCCACTTTCAATAGCATGAGTTATGTCCGATTTCTGTCCAATTATGTTCAATTTTACGAAGCAGCACAAGCCCACATGCACAACACGTGAAAAACGACGCGAGAGCTGTATGGCATGGATCAACCAGAGAACACCTATGCACGGCACCAAAGGAACAAAGAAAGCAAAGCAAGCACAGACCGTGCTTGCGTGTAGAAGCTTAGGCTGGCATGACGCTACAGTGCAGTCCACTTATAACGATATCGAGAAAACCTAAAAATATGATCGTTATAACCGGTGATCGTTATAACCGGTGATCGTTATATCTGGACTGCCAACAAAAAATCGTCGCCGGACGTAGCTTTTGTAGCTCCAGGCTTCATTTCGCTATTTTCACCAATTAATAAATATTGTAGATAGTAGGATGTCAAAAACAAGACTTTATTTCTTACTCCGAAGAACGCATCACGGGTTCGCTGAGGAAGAGAGACTGACCGACGGCGGGGTGGGAGCAGTGGGAGGAAGAAAGCACAGCCAGAGGTACACAGCCGGAATACCAACGAGGCCCCGCCCTGATGCCGCCGCGCCGCTTTGCTTTTCGCTTTTTTTATTTTCTCTCTCTTTCCCGCTTTCGTTCGGCAAGCTACGAGTAGCTTGCCGGCTTGCCGTTGTAGAAGGCGGGGAGCCGCGGAGCGCGGCGCTTTGCTTTTCGCATTTTTTTTTTTAATTTTCTCAGCCTCTCCGCGGTCGACGCGTGGCGAGGCGCAAAACGTGACACAGCTGGCGCCATCTGTAGCGCGTCGCGCCAACTCGCGGTGCTCTCCTCGGCTTTTTGAACGGCCGGGACGCGCTGCCGGCGCTGTGCTGCAGTGGCGGCAGTACGTACTCGCCTACGCTAACTTTTCGTCTTGTCTCGGCATAGTTCGTTTCAGAGGAACTTATCAATCTAAATGTTACGATTATTCTGAATGAAACATGCCGTCCACGGCAAACTTTTCATCGTTGTATCCGATATGCGGTGGATAACATATCGTTATATATGGTTTTTTTCCCCATAGCCCCAATGCATAAAATGAGACTGTTAAGTCGACCCATCGTTATAACCGATATATCGTTATATGTGGTATCGTTATAAGTGGACTGCACTGTAGTTGGTATGGCATGACGATAGTTATAGCGCGAGAATAAAACGACGACGCAGAGACAAGGAGGACACGAAAGACACGAGCGCTCGTGTCTTTCGTGTCCTCCTTGTCTCTGTATCGTCGTTTTGTTCTCGCGCTATAACTATCATTGTGTTTGCGTGTTTGTGCAAAGCGCCATCGCGTGGACAACACCAGAAGCCTAGCCGGCCGAGTGCTTCTTGTTGCAGAAAAATCCAAGAGATGGTGCTCACCAACACAGCCGCCATCATCGTCAACACAAACAAGGGAGGCGTGTTTCGATCTCTGGGGCTTGCTGTTCTGTCGGGACGCCCAGTGGGGGACGACATGCCGCGGCGAGTGCACAACGAAAATTAGAAAAACTACTTATTAACCGATACATACGTGATAAGCTGGTACGGCTTATATGGATACAAAATGCATTATGTTCAATGGCCGCCGAGTCGGGGATTTGACTTCACTACTTTTAAAACGAAACTACTGTTTACGTGGGTACGATTTAATGAGGTTTCACTGTATATCTTTTTTCCTGGCCACAGTACTGATTTTCTCCAAGTTTCTTTAAATTAAAAAAAGAAAGTATTCTTGGGGGGGATTTCTCAACCACACAGCTGATGGCACATCAACCTTTCAAGAAATGGAGTGTGCAACTTAATATACCATATTTACTCGCATAATAGGCGCACTTTTTTTCCAGAAAGTCCAGCTCCAAGTTTGGGATGCGCCTATTCGTGGGGTAAAACTTCAAAAAATATAATTTCCATTTACAACATAAACTGCCAATAATGCATACGTCGTTGAAGTCACGAATATCCGCCCTATATCCAAAACAACTTTTTTCATAGGCTACACCAGCACAAAACATGTTGAGCATGTGGTCTCGCTTGTCCGAGAATTGAGGCATGCGTTGGGTGTGCATTCATATTTCCAAAAGTTTAACATCGAAAGGCCCACATCGCCAACGAAATGAAGGCGAAAAAAAGAAAAGCACGGCAAGAAAGCGCCATCACAGAAATTCGCCGATTACGTTCAGGCAACCTAGATTATGCGCATTATTACTACCAAAATTTTGTGCACTGTACGTGGTACCAATCGTTTGATTTTGCGGGCTTGCATCCCATATTCAAGACATTGTAATCGAATCACGAACCACCATTTGAGTTTTGCAGCACCACCCAAGGCCTATTTTCTTTAAGTAGAGCCATCAAAAAAGAGTTGATTCCGTACAAAACCGCAATTTCGATCGCCCGTGACCGCCACCGAGCAGTGATTAGGCCAAGCCTACGATTCGGCATGTTGTCCCAAGAAGTTTGTACCTGACAACATGAAGATAGGCGGCGAAAAGACTGCACTCAAGCACTCATCCTGGAGTAGTGTGCGTGATACAATGTTTAGGTTTGTGGCCGGGAAATCAACTGCGAAAAAAGTCCACAGAGTTTGTGCAAGTCCGCGTGGTGACCGCACTGACAGCAAAGGTGAAGTCTCACGGCAGAATGCCAAAAAGCTTTTAAATTTGCAGACGAGGTAGCAAGCGTGATAACGACGACGCTTTTTCCGACAGGAAGCTCAATAAGCACTTGACGAAGACTTGATTGTTCGTTGGCCGGAGCGAAGCTACCCCGGCCCTGGTGCAAAGGTGACACTAGGCACCATAGTGACACCTAGGCAACCACCCTTCTTCACTGGCAAGCCCGCGGAGCTGCTGCAGCGCTGCCATGGTCTTTTCTTTGCCACAGTTGCTTTTATTTTTGCTGCTTCAGTTAACGTAAGAGGGTGTTGAATTGCAAACGTGCAAATTTGGTGCTAAACTATCAATCAGGGCTAAGTTCGGGCAGTGCTTATTTTGCATGGAAATAAAAAAAATCGGATTTCTGACCACCAAACTGGGGGTGCGCCTATTATACGAGTAAATACAGTATACGAGTAATCATTAAACAATATAATAATGTTTTGTGACATGTAATTTTTTGCATGGGGTGTCTAGTATTACTATTTATAACTGTCAACCAAGTTAGACTGAAACTAACTCCAAAATGAAGATATTCGAAACACAAGGTACAGTACACGTGGGCTGAAACGCAGAGCTCTATGTTTCACTTTTTGCGTCTAGCTTCGTTCCCAATGTCTACAGTTTGTCCCATATCAGCATAATTTTGATTTGAACAGTTGCACCATAACCACCGTTGCCTTTAGCAGCCACATTTGCCACATCGCCTGCAGTTACTTATAGCAGTTGTTGTTCTTTAAAAAAAACTGATGCTTTATATCAATTTCTGAGCACGGTACAGTCATACGAACATACATGCATGCAGGTTCGCAGGAAGGGAGCAACTTCCACACGAGCCGGCACAACAGTGGCAACGCACGCAACCGCAACCACAGCGGGGGCAAGAAGCCTGCCGTGGTCAGCCGGCACCTGAGCGGACAGGGTGGTCTGGACAGGGGCTCCCAGGCAGGACCCGACGCACAGCAGACCACGGGCGAGGACTCTGCCTCGAGCGGCATTGAGGATGACCAGACACTGGCTTACATTGCCAGTGGCATGGCCAACACACCGGGTGACTTCCTGTTCGGAGATGACAGTGTAGCTTCAATACAGGGGTTCTCCTGCAACCTACAGGTAAGCACACATGTTCTGCTACCATATTCATTCCATGTGATGAGACTGTACAGCAATACTGCGATATCTTGCATGACTACTTAAAGCTCACTGCATTCAATGATACCTGCTCAACAGCTATTCATGCTTATTACATGACTTTTACATTACACACTGTCTCTGTGATCATGCACAAGCCACAAAAGTATGAGGGCTTCCCTTGGCCGTGATCAGCCCATTTGCCATGCGATGATGTCATCGTGTAATGTCACATTATGAAATTTCATAGGGACACCACTAATTTTGGCAATCTGTGATGTCATGACGACGTCACATGGTGATGTCATCACATTACAGTGAAAGCTCATTAATTCTCAACTAATTAATTTGAACTTCTGGGTTAATTCGAACTGATGTTCATGGTTTCACCATAATATATAGCATCTGTGGGTTAACCAACTCGTTTATTCACGTGCTCATCGGTTCTCCTATCGATAATTCGAACTGCGCGCCGCTGCGTAGTGGTATTTTATACTGCCGCTGCAAGCTTTTATGACTCGACCATAGATGGCGCGAGCACTGAGCGCAGCGCCCAGGTGCATGCCGTCACAGGCATCATTGCGCTCTCTCTTCACATTGTGTGGTGGTTCGTGCCGGACGTGTATGTGGGGCTGTTCAATTTTCAGGCCTCGGCATCTCTCTGGCAGCCAGAGCTAGCCAGAGGGTCAGTCAGCTAGTGCCGGTCTGGACAGGAAACAGCGTTGTGGTCATGTGTGTGGGGAACTCAAGACAACCCGAAGCTGCCCGAAGATCACAATATTGAACACTGGGAGAGATAGCGTAAACGTAAATAAGCTCTACCGTCGTGTCAGCAAACGAAACAATGTGCCCCATGCGCGTTGGTTTTTTTCTGCACTGTCCGCTTGGAAATACGTAGCTAAGCTCACCAAAAAGCTAAAATAATATCCTCGAGCGTACGCATTTGGGGTATTACTTCGTACGCTCGCACAATCACTTGTCGCATCCTCGAACAAAACAGCCAGCTGGCGCATGCCTAAGTTCTAAGAACTTCACGCTTGCAAACATACGACGAAGCGGGCTAGTTCGATCACAATTGTCTTCGCTAAGTGCTCAGAAAGCACGAACGGCTCCACAAACAACTACTGCGGAAAAAAAAAAATTTTAACAAACTCCAAAGCTGTGTCTATGCGTGCGTACAAACGTGGAGTACATAACTTTTGATTGATTTGATTGATTGATTGATTTGTGGGGTTTAACGTCCCAAAACCACCATATGATTATGAGAGACGCCGTAGTGGAGGGCTCCAGAAATTTTGACCACCTGGGGTTCTTTAACGTGCACCCAAATCTGAGCACACAAGCCTCGACATTTCCGCCTCCATCGGAAATGCAGCCGCCGCAGCCGGGATTTGGAGTACATAACTTTTGAGGCATGTGCAAGACGCAGTTAGCAGGTAACAGTTCACCGCGTTGTTCACAGGAAGAAGCTTCACGGGAAACATAACAAAAGCGATGACCAGTAATCGTAATCACCTCATTTCCAAAGGTGGAACAAGCTTTAGAAGATAACGCCACGTGTAATTATAAGCAAAGGTGCAGTCCTCAAGTGCCCTCATTGCAATCCGTCGAGTCCTCACAAAGATGGCGCAGAGCGCGTATTGTACCTTTTCGGCGTCGTCTAGCACGAAACCTGCCCAAAACCTCCTCTTGGGTCGCCAGAACCGTCCAATTCTAGAAAAACGAACGCCAACCGAAAGTGCGTTGTGGGGGAAACGGAGCAGCCCGAAAAAAACAAGCACGCTCTAGCTGGTTCTGGCAGCCCGCAGACAGCCAGAAGTAGAAAATCGAAGAGCCCCTGGGTAGTCTCTGTGCTCTTTGTGTAGAGCACATTCAGTCGCCAGGGCCCGTGTGGATCAGAGCGACGAAGTCGTTCCCTGCAGTGCCGTGAGTTTCGTACTATGTGCAGTGATGTTATTGCCTTTGGCTGCTGGACCCAGCATATCCACGCTATGACTTCTCACGGAAGAGGACAGAGCACCAAAACGCTCAAGGAGAAAGTAGAAATCTTTCGTCAAGTGGACAGTAGCAAAACAAGCTAGCTTTAAATCGCAAAGAGGCATGGCATCCCAAAAAGCACTGTTTCAATGTATATAAAAAAAATGAGAGAACGACTGAGGAGGCCTACGCAACTGATGCGTTCACTAACATAGAAGTGTGGCAGCTTGGACTAGTTGGTATGACATGACGATAGTTATAGCGCGAGAACAAAACGACGACACAGAGACAAGAAGGACGACTACTGCAACTACTGCGAAGAAGGACAACTACTGCGATGACTACTTGTAGACTACTAGCGCTCATGTCCTTCGTGTCCTTCTTGTGTCTGTGTCGTTGTTTTGTTCTCGCGCTATAACTATCGTCGTTCACTAACAGTCGCAAGAAACTTCACTTGGCGAAGCACCCGGAATTGGAGCACGAAGTGTTCACGAGGATCAAGTAAATGAGGAGCCAAAACATCTCACTGAGTGGCCCTATCGTTATGGCGAAGGCAGCAGACTATGCGCTTCACCTGATTTTAAAGCTTCAGAGGGCTGGCTCCATCGTTTTCGAGAGAGGCGCGAGATTGTGTTCCGCACCGTGTCTGGGGAAGGCAAAGAAGTGAACAGCGAGACATGTGCAAAGGGCCAAAGCGGTGCTTTGCAAGAACACCTTCACGTGTATTCGCCACGCTGTATATTCAATGCCGACGAAACCTCATTATTTTATAAGCTGCTGCCGAGCAAAACATTTATCTACAGAGGCGTACATTTAATTCAACTGTGCTGGCGGGAAGAGAAGTAAAGAGCGTGTTACTGTCTTGGTCGCAGCAAACATGACTGGGACCGAAAAACTGCCACTGCTGATGGTAGAGAATGCCCTGAAGCCTCGTTGCGTCAAGAACTTCTGCACACCACCGGCAGAGTATACAGCCAACTGCAAGGCATGGATGACCCCGTAAATATTCAGACAGCGGCTGCTAAAGCTCGGTCGCAAATTTTAATCAGCTAACAGAAGGGTGCTCTTGATAGTTGACAACTGCTCAGCACATGTGGTTGAATGTGGGCTTGAAGGCGATCAAGCTCTTGTTTCTGCCGCCGAACACAACGGCAGCTTTGCAACCAATGGAACAGGGGTCATTAAGAACTTTAAGTGCTTTTATAGGCACCTTATGTTGAAGCGTTTGGTGTTGTGTGCCGCTGCTATGAAAGGTTACGATGTGACGCTGCTCACAGCCTTGCATATGTAGAACCGGGTCTGGGATTGGGTCGTGGCAACAACTGTTGCCAATTGCTTCTGCCACAGTGGCTTTTGTGGGGCCAATGAGGGCACAGCTTGCGAGCCCGACAAACGTGAGGCCGAGGTCATTCCTGCCTGACTGCAGGATGCGCTGGAGGACGTGAGCTTTGACGACTACGTCGATGCAGATGGCAGGGCAGTGGTCTGCGGCGCATTCATCGACGATGATATCATCATGCAGGTGACTGATGGAGAGGCGGCTGGTGTCAATTGTAAGTGAGGATGATGAAAAGGATGAGACGCTGACGCGGCCCTCAGCTTTGGAGCTGATGAAGGCAATGCATGTTGCGCGCCTATTCTTCAGCTTCGAGGAAGGCGAAAAGGATGCTTCCCGCCACGTTTGTGCGTTGGGAAACAAGGCTGTGGTGATCGCATTCAAAGAAGAGAAGAAGACAGGAATCATGGATTTTTCTCGCAGTTAAATATTTTGAGTTATTTTACAACAATCTAGTCTCGTCTTGCTGTTTCTGCAATGAATTTTGTTAGTTAGAGTTAAAGAGCTTATACTGTACGATATTTGGGGTCACTAGTTGTGGCCGCAGTTGGCCCCAATGCCGACAGTAGTTTTTCACGTTTGATGAGGCACTTAGGTTTTTCGCCTTCAAATATATGCAGTAACTGCTCACAACTGTTGCTGGAAATGAAACCATAGAGCCACTTATGGGCAGTATGGTTATTGCTCCACATTTAGGCGTATCATGCTGCTCTTCATACCTTTATTTATGTATCTATGTATTTTCAGTTTATTTTTCAATGAACGTGGCAGGTTCCTAGTTCTGGAGGTACGGACAACCTGCAACAGCAGCAGCAGGAGTGGTCACTGCCAACCGAGGCATTTGAGCCACGTCATCCTATTCGGGACTCACCACCCGTGCCAGACCTGGGGCACCCACAGAGCTCGCCCACTAGTGGGGACGAGGAAGACGGACCCGAGACAGTCATGTTCGGTGGCGGCATCGGAGGGGACACCGAAGATCAGGGCAAAGTGCTGACCGTGGTCAGGCCCTTGTGCGTGCCTGCCTGGAATTGCAGAGAAGTTGTTCTCAGCATGCTTGGACACTACGTAGACCAGGCAGGTGGCTTCGTTCTTTGTAAATGTCGCCACAATATATATGATGTTTACTGCATTTGCACAAATATGTCGTAATATCTTGTAAACATTAGCTAAAAATATGCGGCAGATACAGTTCAACCCGACTATATCAAAACCGTTTACTTAGAATTGTCCTGTACATCGAACAACTTCTGAATACAGCATAGTTAGTGAGATTATGTAGTGACAACTGGGGTTACATCGAACAAGAATTGCAGCGACTTCCGATATGTTAAACGTCAAGCGAGGCGAAAGTGCCTCGGAAGTTGGCTTTCCCTCGTAGTGGCTGGAGCTTTTTCCAACGCTCACTTCAAAAGTGGTTTGGAAAGCGCATGACCCACACTCCCTACCATGAACTCGCTGCGCCGGTCAAGTTGCCGTCATCCCCCTTGCAATAAATTATCCTGACCCGCCACAGCGTTTGCTGAGACAGCCAATCGGTGCCTCTTGTACTTTCGTCGTGTGAGCGTGTGGGTCGTGCGAGTACCATATTTACTCGATTCTACCGCGCCCTCGATTGTAACACGCACCCGATTTCCACCGCGAAAAAAGAAAAAAACGTAAGACATCGATTGCAACGCGCACCCATTTTTCTCGCTGGCTCGCACGATCACACCACTCGAAAAAACAACTCCTTTCGGGAGCGTCTTCCATTTAAATATGAGGTACGGGCAAAGCTTGTGCCCATCTGACGTGTAACAGAGCATTGCCGTCACTGTAGTTTTACCGTGGACCAATGTCAGCACGCGAACTTGCTTCGCCCCCTTCTTCTCGACGGTTGTGGTGCCAGGCATGTCAAAGTAAAGAGGTATCTGATCGGCATTCCCGATTTGCCCATGCAAGTAGCCGTTGTTCTGCCGCAAGTTTAGGACGAACCTCTGAAAACTGTGAAGCTTTTCATCGTACTCCTCCGCAAAACTTTTCGCATATGCATGTTCCCCTTCGGAGGGAAAACCCTTTCCTCTTCATAAAGTTAGTTAGCCAGCACCTGCTCGCTTTAAACTGGCTCCACATTAGACCTTTTTCTAAGACGTAATTGCATAGCCCGCACTTGGAGCAGTTCTGTCGTCACGGGCCGCTGTGCCGCTGTGTGCTCGCTGCTCAAGCACATACTCGCCGAGCAGCTCTTTAATTTGCGGAAACCGACCCTGCTGTGGTCCACTGAAGCCTTTGCGTGAAACTTTGCTGTCGACAATCTTCTGCTTTTGTTTCCGCCGGTCCCGCACGCACGTTTCGGGAACTCTGAACCACCGCGATGTGGCCCGATTTCCGTCCGTTTCTGCACACGTGATGACTTTTCTTTTAAAAGCGGCATCGTGGTGCACTCGAGTTTTCGGAGTCGGCCCTTCCATGCCGTCGATGCTAATGCACTACTAGATGACGAACTCTTCAGCACACGTACGAAGTGCCGCATGTGAGAAACACATAGGCAGAAATGGCCGACGCGCCATGCCGACGCACGTAGGGGGCGGCCATTTTGGAATCGCCGATGGCAATAGATTGACCGTAATTTTTTTTTTTCGTACTCGATTCTAACGCGCATGCGATTTATGAACTCGCTTAACCGGAAAAAAGGTGCACGTTAGGTTCGAGTAATTAGGCTATATGGTGGTTTTGGGATGTGAAACCCCACATATCAATCGAATTTGTCTCCGGGGACGAATTTTCTTTGGTCAAGGAACCTTTCTTTTTGATGGATTCCATTGTGGCTTTTTGCTGCAAACTGGTGGATGCTTTTCAGAACCTTGTAAGGCTCAACAGAACTAATTTGCAATGGTAGCACTATTTTGAAATATACCTTTACTTTTCTAAAAATATTTTGTTTGTAGTATTCATATTTGGTTAGGTGTCATCCCTATTTTGTTCATACAGTCGAATCTCACTAATCCGAACACGCTTCATTCGAACTTCTGGTTAATTCGAACTTACGCTGAGGTTCCGTCAAAGCTATGTGTATTCCAATGGGCGAAAACGCCTTGTAATACAAACGTCCAAGCACTTGCGATGGTTAATTTACCCATACCGGGCTCCGAAAATGCTCTCAGCACCACGCCCAATCCCACGGCGGCATCTCCGACGCCTGAACTCTGTGCCCAAAGGAAAAGGAAAGTAAAGGCTGCGGTGGAATGTTTTCTCTCTCTCAAATGCCATTCCGCGACCCGCCTGTGCAATGCTTCTTCCTTTTCCGTCCCTGCCACGTAAACACCCTTCTCCTTCTTTCAATGCCACACGCGAAGAGAGGAAAAAAAAAAAAAAGAAAGCTGTCAGGGAGTGTTGGCTCTCTCTCATTTGCCGTTGCCACGCTTCCCTCATTTCCCGTCCCTGCCACGTAGACCCTTCTCCTTTCAACAATGCACGAGAAAAGAGGGAGAGAAAAAAAGCTTCAGTGGAGTGTTGGTTCTTTCTCAAATGCCGATCCGCTTCTCTCCGCGTAGCAAAAAAAAAAAAAAAAAGGAGACTTCTTTCTTGTCATGTGCTGGCCAAGCTGCGGCTGTGGTGCATATGACACTAGCAGTAGTAGGGTGTTTTCTGGTAGTAGCGGAGATTCAGTCATTGTCGTCGTCGTCTTTAGAGAGTGTTGGCGCTGGACATTGCTGCGCGCAACTTCTCTTGCCAGGAGAATGTTGAAACCAAAGAAGAAATGCTTTGCAAGCTGGGTACGAAATTGATTGACTCGCTGCAAGGCAAATGTGTGCAGACGCGCATCCCCGATTACTTCAAATAATGACGGATGACCTGTGATTTGTGAATAAATGTAAGTCTTCTACAACTTCCCCCTCATGTGCTAGCTCAATGTACATGCGCCACTGCTTGGTGAGCCCTCTGTTCATTTAGCTTTCATTAATTCAAACTTCTTTTAATACGAACAAATTTTCGGGCCCCTTCTATCGAGATTCGACTGTATTTGATTCAGTTCCGAAATTCACTACTCACACACCCCTAGTTGTAAGGGCTGTACCTCTGCTGTGAATTTGTAAGGGAATGTCGCAGCTGTTCAATGTAACTTATGATTCAATTAATTTATGCTTGCTATTTCTGTGTCTGACTGTTAACATGGAAGGTTATCTTTCTGGTAAAGTATGGTGAGCCTATGTTTGCTTGAATGTTGCAGGGTGATGTTCAAATGGCTGTATCGGCCACGATTGTTCTGGGAGACAAGCTCAAAGGCTGCATAGATGAATCGACATTGGAGTCCTGGTTTCTTGCTTACATAGGTAGGCAATGAATCTGCTTTGAGAGTCATTGTAGCATGTGTGTAGTGTGATCTTGTTTTTTCACTTCAGTGTAGTCTCAGTCATTAGTACAGAAAAGGGAACATTGTACAAAGTAGATATACAGGAGGAGGTCCGAAAGCACAAGGCTGCAGGGGGACCTCCTGTTTAAAATTGGATAACAAAAATTATTCAATTAGCAGTAAGAGTTAAAACAGGAAAATGAGTAAATTGATAAAACAAAAATAAGATACAAATTATTACAGGGGAAGAAAAACATGTAGTAGTTAACTTGACATTTACTTTACTGTATTTTTCTTCTTGTATTTGCTTTGTGGTACTATTGAAATTGTTAACAGATATTGTGAGTTGCTCTCTTGATTTGTTAGTGTGGTGCAGATGAAGTAGTTACTTCAGAACATCTGAATTGCTGACCATGTGATCTGGCGTAATTTTTGTTATTCTTTTCATTTGAAAAGAAACGTAAGAGGATGTAACTGTCTTTGATCATGCAAATTTCACTCAGGAGGATTTCAGTTTACTTACTGGAGGGTCTTTTGTTGTGTAGGCCTCTTTGCATGTCGCAATGGTACTCTTGAAGCAACATTGCTGCCATATAAATGCCATAGATCACACGGTTATTCCTTCCCCTCTCTCCAAAAAAACACAATATTGAGCTTTGTTTGATATTAACAGTCGTAATTTTAGTCTTCCATCTGTGATCCAGTAATTCTAAGTTCGTTCCTTATTGACAGAAAAGTAACTGCGAGATAAACACGGTTTTTAAAGTAATCCTGCAACACTTCTACTGCATGGTCACAAGATGCTGCTGATCGTTGGTCGAGGCTACTGAGAACACGCGAGCCAAGCAATATAAGAGACAGAGAGAAAGGACAGAAAGTGCTTAGAATGTGCAGCAAATTTCAAGTACGCTTGCACTTGGTGGATTCTAAAAAATTTCACAGCAATCGATTCATGAGGCAATAAGCTTTTTTAATGAAGCCATTCGACGATTACGTGGGCGCTTTTCAAACATGCTTTTGTGAATGGGAATAGTCTGCATGCTTCACGTATGATATTAGCAAGCTACATCTTATAGTGTATTGTATTGGCTTGTGCGAATATTCGAATGCTTTGAATTTTGGAACGAATATTACGGTATTCGAATTTGCTTTGACTCGAATTAAATTGTTTAAAATTTTGAAGTATTCGAAATGAACGAATAGCCCCGCCGCGGTGGTCTAGTGGCTAAGGTACTCGGCTGCTGACCCGCAAGTCGCGGGTTCAAATCCCGGCTGCGGCGGCTGCATTTCCGATGGAGGTGGAAATGTTGAAGGCCCGTGTACTCAGATTTGGGTGCACGTTAAAGAACCCCAGGTGGTCAAAATTTCCGGAGCCCTCCACTACGGCGTCTCTCATAATCATATGGTGGTTTTGGGACGTTAAACCCCACAAATCAATCGAAACGAACGAATAGGTGTATATTAATCGCATATAACCTTTTTATAAAAGTTGTTTCACTGCAGTAAAGGTGTGCGAAACTGTGAAAGCACCTTTGCAGGGAAAATCCGCACTGCCGCGAAGCCTTACTTGAAGGTTAAATGAACATCATACCTTAATAATGAACATCATATTGATTCTTCATTTTTTAAGTTTAAAAGCTTGTTACTCCGGCTTATATGCTCCAAGTATAGTAAATTTTAAAATGAACATAATTTGCAGGTTATCGCTTGCATTCTACAGGAAGTCATATCCTGCTACTATTCAAAGTTGTTTCATCTTACTATGAACAACAAAAAAAAAAGAGGCAGTTGCATAGGCCTTGTTTCAATTTTTCAAAAGTAGTGTGCAGTTTAGTTAGGTCATAAGAAATACAGTGGACTCCCAATAAACGAAACTCGCTTAAACGAAAATGCTCCATTAACGGAACTAAATGGGCTCATATGGCTGGATTTTTATGTGTTGCGTAGTAAAATTCATCTGTTAATCGAAACAGTGCTTACTGGTCACCTACGGTTAAATGGCACAAACTCTAAACACAGCATAGACTCGCTCAGGCCAAAGGTAGTCTCACAACCGTGGTAACAACTCGAGACAAGCCAATCCAGTAGCCATTCTCGCTTGTGGTGGCTGTGGTAGAATGTACTAAAAGTGTTGAGTGGCGTGACTGTGTCTCGTCGCCTGATACCTTCTGCGTTGCCCGTAGCGGCGGCGCTGCAGTCGAATAGTGCTGAAAGAGCCGTGCGCCGCGTGCAAGAACTGCTATGAGCTTTGGCTTCTCTCGTGCGCTTTTTTGCTGCAGATTTCTTCGTACCTGCCTATCATTCATGTCTAGCACATGATGTCATAATCCTAGAAGTATGATACGCCAGTCTACTGAATTTAAGCTCCGTAAAAGTCCTTGGGAGAGATAGAAAATTATTTAGAAAGGGCGTGTCTTATTATGATTTTATCTGTCTTAACTCTTTCCTCGTTGGACAGGCGTCTACAATATTAAGAATAACTGAGCTGATTTATTGGAAGTTATAGCTGTGCTCAGAAAGCTGTGAGATGAAAAAAAAAAAAAAAAACATATGCCATGTCAATCGCACGGAGAACCAGGAGGCCGTAAGTAGAGAGGTGAGGAGAAGGGAATATGAACCTCCTACACAACGAAATTTTTTCGTAATTTAATTTTTCAAGGATACTTAAATATTTACACGTATTCACAGCGACAACAAATTGCCAAAATTAGTCGTTCTGCTGCACCCCCCCCCCCTTCCCAAAATATCCTGTGTAGCCCTGCGCCGAATGTTTACAGTTGGCAAAGCTGAATATAGCGTGCCTCTGTACAAATGCGCACTATAATTTTCACCTTTTCGACAGTATGAGGTCTCAAAACTAGTTCAAGTCTAACATAGTTGGACGAAAAATGCACAGCGAAAAAAAAGCAGCTGTTTTAAGGGGCATTGCATGGAAACATATATGTGTGTGTGTGTGCGTGTGTGCATGTGTGTGCGTGCGTGCACATATACAAGTTTAATTTCTCAAAACAAAATGCCCCACTGCGTGCCTACACTTTTGACACTTAATAAGAACTTCACCTATAATACTAAACATCGTAATAAATTTGCTGGCTTGCAATGGGGTTATGCCAATAGAATATTTCGAAAGCAGTGCAATTTAAGTTGTCGATAAAAAAATGAGAACTGGTTTCAGTGAATTTACCCCAATTAACAGACAGGCTATATATATACAACTGGCACTTTTTAACATCTTTAAAATAACCCCTTTCTCGTAGAGTTCTTAACTGGGAGGTACAGGCATTCTTTCAGCACTCGGCTCCCTGGCTCGGTTGCGTGGAGCTTGCATAAAAGAAGCAAAGTGAGTGCGAAAGCATGCGGTTACAACAAGAAAACCTTTCAGAAAGCATTAATTATTATCTTTCGCAAAAGTGGCATAATAAAACAGAGTTGTCACCGATATAAATGTGCTGACATTACTTGTACTCGGGTTTCTCATGAAACAATGGAGCGCATGTATACTTATACGAGGAACAGTGCTCTGGATATAGAAATTGCCGAGAAAACGAGTGCATGATTTAATCGCGGTATTGATACTTATCTCTTTGTAGTTCGCCAGTAGCCACTTATGATGTAGCGCAGCTCAATGTGCTGCTTGAGCGAGAAGCTAAGTGGATCCGTGCGAATTCCGATTGTACATTTTTTTTTTTGTCGGCAGGTTCTTGAAACAGTGAATGAATCGACGCAATTTCGGCGTGCTGCATATTCACTTGTCCACCATGGCGCGTAGCAGGTGCTTCTACTGGTAAAGGCTCAGAAACACATTAAACGCGCTAAAAACGAGCAAATACACGCTTTCACAGGCTACGGCTCGAGCGCTCCCAATGCAGACGCTCTTGAGATCTTCAGTACCATGAAACTACAGCGCCGCCGCTACAGTCACCCACCGGAAAATCAGCCGAGATACGGCGCGGCCGCCTCGTTCAATCCACTGCCCCCTTCTGGTACACTGTAACTGTGGAAGCCGAGCCAACGAGTCAGTTGTGTGTTAAGCCTATTTGTGCGGCTAAGTGAGGTAGATCACGGTGTTATTTCAGCCTGATAGAAAGGATGCGGCCGCACTATGCACTCTCGCTTGAAAAAAAGCTGCAAATTCTTCAAGAGCTCGACCAAAGCGGCCTGCCCAAGACAGAGGTGGCGAAAAAAATACAACATCCCGAAATCGACGCTGTGGCGGATCTGCGAAGACAGAGAAAAGATTGAAGGCGCTTTAAAGAACGGGACCTTTACATCTAAGCGGATGCTGATGCGGACGATGCCTTATGAACAACTCGAAAAAGTACTTTTTCTGTGGTTCAAGTGTGCACGGAGTTCCAATTTGCCCATAAGCGGACCAATTCTCGAGCAGCAAACTCGAGAGGTCGCCATGCGAATGGGTGTTGAGAACTTCGTCCTAAATGACGGATGGCTCAACCGCTTCAGAACACGCCATGGCCTAGTCTTCTAAGCAATCTTGGGTGAGAGTGCTGCAGTCAACAGGGACATTTGCACTGACTGGCTACAGGCGCGGCTTAAGGAAATTTTGATGAGCTTTGAGCCACGAGACATCTTCAATGTCGACGAGATGGGTCTTTCTTATAAAGCGCTTCCATCAAAGACTCTCACCTTCAAAGGCGAAGCCTGTAGTAGAGGAAAACACAGCAAAGATCGCATCACCGTGCTGGTGGGTGTGATCATGGCAGGAGATGAGAAATTGTAGCTGTCGGTAATAGGAAAATCAAGGCACCCACGTTGTTTCAAAGGCGTTCGACACCTTCCCGTTGCGTACCATGTGGACGGCAGAGTGTGGATGACTATGGCCATTTTCGAAAACTGGCTATCGGAGGAATATGCAAGATTTACGAGGGAAGGCAGCAAAGTTGTCTTCATCAGGTTGAAAGACTCCAAGCCATCACTCTGGAGTCTTTGCCAGCCAATGCAACGGCAGTGGTCCAGCTAATGGATCAAGGGGTTATTTAGAACATTAAAGTTCATTACCGAGACTATTGCTCCACCGAATGCTGCTCTGTGCAGACAGCGGGAAATGCTACAGCATAGATTTATTGGCAGCCATCTACATTTTGGCTCATGCCTGGGAACAAGTGAAGGCAACAATACACAGATGCTTTTATCATGGTGGCTTTCAAGTGTGAAAAGCAGTACCCCATGAAGAAGAAAGCCCGGTTGATGCCGACATTGAGGTGCAGTATTCAGTGAGGTCCTGCCCTCTGCCCCTTTCACGCTGCTGGACTACGAATCAATTGATGAAAATGCTCATACTTGTCGTGAGGAGACTGTCGAGGAAATGATTGCCGAAGTGCAATATGAGGATCAACCTTCCAGCGATGGATGTGATGACAATATTGCCAGTGTAGTGGTGCCACGAGACAGATCAGCTAAAAAGGCTGCTGAACTTTGCAGTGGTTTTGCAGCACTACTTTGAGCATGAGGCTTGTTCAGAATTTCTGGCTAGTTTGTCAGGCATGGGTGTATATTTTGTGAAAAAACAACTCAAGCTTGCCAAACATACTACCCTTCACTCCTTGTTTTCTCCTACTCATCCTCATGAGTAAGGTGAGGTTTGTGCAATTTTAATTAAGTTTTTGATTCACTAAATAAGTGTACTTTGCTTAAATGAAACTTCTGATTAATGGAACAGTTTTATGGATCCCCTTCAAGTTCCGTTTAAGAGGAGTCGACTGTATGCGAATTTTTCATTATAGTATATGATACAAGCTATGCAAATTCGATTCGAAATTATTCAACCGAAACCACTATTTGCTTTGAATTCACTTTGAAAATAAAATTCATTATTCGTGCAAGCCTAGTATTGTAATACATTCAAGTTATAGGTATAACTACGTGTCCAGTGACATCTTACTAGACCTTCAAAGATAAGCAAGTAAAATGTAGAAGTTATTTTGACACCACAATGCTTCACTGATTGTGTGATGTGTTTAAGAGTGCGAAAGGAGGGCTTCCTGATTTCCTTTGACATACAAGTAGCCATTGCAAAGATCTGATATGGAATTATTCAACATTGATCTGAATGTGTTCAATTCGCTCTGAAACACACTGCACATCATTTTTTGAGACTCCGGAGCCCGCCATTACTGCATCTCTTATAATCATATAATGGTTTCTGGAAGTTAAACCCAATAATAATAATAATAATAATAATAACAATAATAATAATAATAATAATAATAATAATAATAATAATAATAATAATCATAATAATAATAATAATAATGACATTATTATTATTATTATTATTATTATTATTATTATTATTATTATTATTATTATTATTATTATTATTATTCTTTTGAGGCTTCATAACTGCATCACTGGCTAAATGGTATAAATCTATCATCTCATGCAGAGCCCATGTGTTACATCCGCGTTTACATAATTCAGAGAAATTCATATCTGAACTTCAGCGTGGCTGACACAGCAAATACCGTCTGAAAACGAGATATGACACATGACTGTCCTAGAGTCTTGCTTGTTTTTGATATTGTCAATGCTTTCAAAAGCATTCCAGATGAAGTGGTGTTCATGTTATCATTTCAGACATCACATCGCAACAGACGTGCCTCCGAAGCTTGATGCAAAACAGAAGAGCGCTATGAAACGGGGACATGGACGAGAGGCACATAGAACAGGCGCCTCTTGTGTATGTCCCCGTTGCATAGTGCTCGTCTGTTCCTCATAAGTAGAAACCGACTCTCCCAAGCATAAGTGTTGCTAATCCCTTGAAACATTTGTGCTTTGCCAAAGAAGAGAAGCTTTACGTACACACGTGTTGGAGAACGAGATCAAAGAACACAAGGGGGTGCTTGTGTCATCGTGGTCCTATTCTATTCTCTTACGCCTGTGTTTGCACACATGGATATGTTCCGCGCCCAATCCCAACTAACTACAGTTCACCTTTCTGTCCTTCATAGCTTCTTTTTTGTTCCCGTTCTTCCACATTGTGTTCCACTACATTCACAGGGACGTGAATCCTTGAAACATTTGTGCTTTGCCAAAGAAGAGAAGCTTTACGTACACACGTGTTGGAGAACGAGATCAAAGAACAAAAGGGGGTGCTTGTGTCATCGTGGTCCTGTTCTATTCTCTTACGCCTGTGTTTGCACACATGGATATGTTCCGCGCCCAATCCCAACTAACTACAGTTCACCTTTCTGTCCTTCATAGCTTCTTTTTTGTTCCCGTTCTTCCACATTGTGTTCCACTACATTCACGTCCCTGTTGCATTTATCCACGCTGCAATGAAACCAGACCTGCTGAGTCGGTTCCAGATGTGGAACGTGATAGCACGGGTGCTGTCACTGAGCAACTTGGCCTCAGTGTCGACGCTGAACCAGCAGTCCACCATAGTGCACACAGTGTGTGGCGGCTGCCAGAAGCCCCTGGCCCGCTCTGGCTGGCTGTGCGACCGCTGCAAGGCCATACCTGCTCCCTGCGCCATCTGGTAAGGTGCTTGGTTCATGCATGTCTTATTTCATTTACCGTATTTCATCACGTAATGGATGCACTTGCATAATGAATGCACGCCAACTTCAGTCGTCATAATTTTTCTTTTTTTCTCCCGCATAATAACACACCCCTTACATTCATCATATGCAGTTCAGCAAACCAACACCTTGTTCGCGTCTTCTTGCCTGTTGGATCTTTTCCAGTTTTCTTCATTGTGCTGATCCCCCCCCCCCCTCCCGGGCCGCTCCCCCCTTCATTTGCTTCTGTGCACCATTTTGTTTTTCTTTCTATCTGTGTGCTGCCCTCTCTTGTTTTTTTTTTTTATTATCCTTGCTCCAAGGCATGGTTAATTAATGGTGCATACGGAGAGACATCGCAGCTGACAAGCACACAGCGAGCGAAGGTGACGAAACTGCCCGCACCAACCAATGGTCGCTTCCTGCAAATACAAAAGGCCCAATCACATGCACGCGATTTCCGAGCGATGATGACTGGGTTTGCTATCGCCATGGCTGTCGTGAAGTGCCATTCATCGCCATCACGTTGCAGGTTTCTTGAAATTGAGAAAAGGTCACTTGCCACCCAGAAAAGAGCGTGGCGATTTTCGCAGCATTGCAGCACCTCTGAATTTCACTGCTGTTGCAATTAGATCTTTATGCGTGTTATTCGTGCATAATTCAAGGAACGCAAGATATAGACTACCTCTTAAGGTGGTGGCTGTATTTTGTCGTTAATCTTGTTATCGACAGTTCAACTTGATGATGCGGTGGTAACTTGCTGCAATGTTGGTTACTTGCTGCAATGTCAACGGCAGTGGCTCAGTCGTCGTGCGAGGTGTCCACGGAGTTGGCAAAGTGCATCGCAACGTCACAGCGCATACTTATGGTTGAACCATGAGGTCGCAGCGGATATCACTGTTGCAGTTAAATGATTCCAAGAAAAGAGAGCCACAAAATGCTTTTATGGACTGTGCACGGGGCATGGGGGCATCTTGCAGAAGATAGCACCATCAACCACTGAAGATGAATGAAGTGAAACAGAGAAGCTGTTTCCAAACAGTGCATTATATTAAATGAAAGAAGTAGGCGACCTAACTTTTTTTTATTAGCGCATTTTTTTGCTCATCCCGAAATAAGTATTAATAACATTTTTCCTAAATAAAAAACGCACCCCTAAATTTGCTTCGATTTTTGGGGGAAAAGAGGTGTGTTAATTACGCGAGTAAATACTGTGTCTAGTACATGCTGCAATTAGAAGGTGACCAGCTTGCTGCGACGTCACGGTGAGCTAGCACGGCACCTTCAAGGCAGCTTGGCTACTTCTCTCTCTCTCTTTTTTTTTTCGCTTTTCCTGGTTTGCTAAGTGTCTTGTCTTGTAGCAAGACTGATGTTTTTGGTATTGTGGGTGGATATAATACTAAGTGAAAAAGTATATATGTTCTGGGCTTTAATTTGCCCAAACCACGATTGCTTAGGATTTTACACTATACATGTTAGTAAAAGTTCATCAGTAATAGAACATGAGTACAAATAATTCAATGACACAAAACATACTTTCCAAGTACAAACAAAATTAAAGAGCCCTGACCAAACTGAAAAGGTTTTTTTTTTTAGACATTAAAGTACAGCAGCCAAAATGTCAATTTTTTTTTAATGTGGGTGAACAAAGATGTATGTCAGTTATTGATGTGTGTATAAAGTATGCAGCCAAAAATGTTTGTCATCTAGCCCCGCCGCAGTGGTCTAGTGGCTAAGGTACTCGGCTGCTGACACGCAGGTCGCGGTTTCGAATCCCGGCTGCGGCGGCTGCATTTCCGATGGAGGCGGAAATGTTGTAGGCCCGTGTGCTCAGATTTGGGTGTACGTTAAAGAACCCCAGGTGGTCGAAATTTCCGGAGCCCTCCACTACGGCGTCTCTCATAATCATATGGTGGTTTTGGGACGTTAAACCCCACATATCAATCAATCAATCAATCAATGTTTGTCATCTATCGATGTAGCCCCCGCGCCCCCACTATATCGCTTTCGGCGGCCGCAGGATATCTCATGAATGGAGAGTACAGGATAAATGTTCTAAACCTTTTCATTTTTGTTGGCGCTCTTTCGTTTTGTTTCTACTTCATGCTTCTCCCGACCATATAATGCTTAGTCAAAACATAGATATCAACACATACTTATCGCCGTCTAACACAGGTTGTTCGTTTGTAGTGTCTTTGCAAAACCTCTGAATTGTTTTCTTTTGTGCATTTTGCTTGTGTGCAGCCATGAAGTGGTGCGTGGGCTGTTTGTGTGGTGCCAAGGCTGTGCACACGGTGGGCACGTGCAGCACCTGTCGGCATGGTTCCGCACGCAACGGCTCTGTCCTGCCGGATGCGGGCACATGTGCGAGTACACATAACACTAGCCTTCTCCCAGCTTTGCTGCTCTTCTCATCAGGGTAAGACATAGGAAGATTCTTCGATCGGGGGAAGGTTACCGGCTCTTGCTGTAGCCCGGGAACCACTTCCCGCAGCCTCCCAAGCCAATGCTACGGTGGTAGAGCTGTTACACATTCAGTAGGCTCTCAACAATTCTGTCTCCCAGAGACCATAGGAATTTAACTGTCCGAAGATTTCATAAATATGACCCGGGCAATGTAGTGAAAGCTTGAAATTTGAAATACCCTTAAATAAGGAGATGGGGGGTACGATGGTGCTTGCTTCGTTATTACATGGCCTATGCACACATGTGCGATGAAGGCACTGTCTTAGTTTACTTTTTCACATGATATCAATGCATCGTGGCGAAAGTGACTTTAATGTTTTGCGCGCAATACAGTAGACTCCTTCAAACGGAACTCAAGGAGGGCAAGAGAACGTCTTCCATTTATGGGAAGTTTTATTGAAACAAAGACCACAAAATTAGTGAAGTATGACTTTACTTGAAAAGCTCCAAGCATACTAGCTTTCCCATTTATGTGCTACGTGACAGGCAGCGTTGTGGTTTTTGAGTATCCCGCAACTACCGCCTTCCTCTTATCACTGACATCCATGTTGGCACCTACTAGCACCGTAATCCGATTTTCGCAGTGCTTTTCCTCTGCACAGGTTTCCCCTTGTAAACGAGAGTCGTAGTCAGGAGTGCCTTGTAAGACTACCCCATTTCATCATTAAACAAGTCACATTGTTCTTGGGCTTCCTAAATTTCTTGCAGCCTCCACTGCTGGCAGTGGCCTCATACATCTTTGTCTAAAGCTGGACGTTCTCCCGAAACTGCTTTAAAGGCAAGGGCGTGACGCTTTTTTAAATGGCTCTGTCGGCCATTGGTCACCCTGAACCACCTAAAGCCCAACTGAGAAGTCTTTATGGCTTTTTCTTACGAAACGGGGCCGCTGATCGGGAAGTTGGCACTGTGCGCATGCTTGAACCAGGATAAAGCACATCTTAAATTTCTTTGTACGCCGACATTCTCATCCACATTCTGTCCGTGGCAAAGTGTCCAAGCTTCCCTCTGTTCTTGAGTATCCTTAATATAGCACGGACCTATCGACATTGAGCTTTTTCGCATTTTCTGTATTTGACAGGTGTTGTACATTCTTGAATAGTCATTACTTTTGTTACAAGCAGAAGCGCATTGTGCTGCAGTTTTTGTGGAGCCCTCCACTACGGCGTCTCTCATAATCATATGGTGGTTTTGGGACGTTAAACCCCACAAATCAATCAATTATTTTTGTTATATCGAGATAAAGTGATGAAATTTGGCTTGTAGATGGCATTTGTTGTGCTGATATCATAACTGAAATTGGTTTTAAGCGATCTGATGTTTTTCAGTTACAGCACTTGATAGACTCTCATTGTAATCCCAAAATAATTAATTAATTAGACATAAGTTTGTCAACATTTTTGCATAAGGATATTTAAAAGGGCCCCTTCTGTGCGCATGCTATTGGTTTATCTTTAAAGTTCAAGTAAGCACACAAAAGTGCTGGAAATATTGTCTTACTAACAACTTTACAAAATGCTAATTATAAAGCACTGTATATGTGCACACAAATATGGGCAGCTTTATGGCACTCACCAATGTCTCAGAATCAAAGTGCGGGAAACGGAATCGCTATATTTTCATTTGTTGCAAAATGGCACAGAGATGACTGTCAGCAACTGCTCAAAAAATGAAAGCTGAGAAAAGCTCAGTTAAATTGGAGCTGTAAGCTAAGGAAACGGAACTCGAAAGGAAGCAAGCTTTATTTTTTATTGCAGAAACGCAACTTAGTGGTTATCTTGAGCTCCGATTTATCCTCTTGGTGATGATGCCAGTATGGTGGCTATGGGCCAAGAGAAAGCTGCAGATTTGCATTTTCTAAAGCCTAATTTTTTTTATAGCATTTGACGACAGCCCACCAGCAAACTGCCTTTTTCTCATCTTTTACTACTTATTTTGGTCTAATATTTAACCATGATGTGTAAAACATGGTCTCAGGATTGCAGAAAAAAGATATTTAAAAAAAATTGAACATTTTGACTAAATTTACCATTTTCATTGCCACGTCCCCCCTTAACAGTGTTTTGTTGAATGGGATTACACTGTAAACCAGACCATCTCGGTTTCTTATGTTTTCTTTTCATCTTTAGTTTACACGTGATTGTTTGTGTGCAGGATTTGGCTAGTTTATCCATGTTGCTCGCAGGTGATAGGTTTTATTCGGGACTGTTAATAATATGATATTGTAAATATTCACCTGGATCAACAAAAGCAGCAAATATTTTCCATCACAGACAAGCAAAAAGCATGAATTACTCAATTTTGTGCAAAGAAATAGTATGAGTTAAGCTAACCCATGTTGTGTAGGCAAAAAAGTTAAAATTGCAATAAAAATATAGTGGGGCAAACGAATATTCAAATCTGTTTGAATTACCCTAAGTTAGGAATTTTCAAGAGTTTACTGTGTATAAACTCACCGGAGTGCTCTGGAAAGGCTCAATATCATCTTCCGTTTCAGTCTCTCCTAGGCAGTTGTTAACCTTCTCCTTATAAAGCCTCGCTTTGTAGCTCTATCAAAAGTGTACATGCGGGTCGTAATGTTTAGGTTTGACACATAACATTGCATACTGTTTTGTTTCACCAACTCTGCTTGGCAACATTCATTGCAACTACTGCACATTGCACACTCAACATTCGTGCTGCGTGCCGATGCATCAAAATTCCCAATTTCTTGTCTCTCGTTGGTTGCACCCAGTACAGTAGTGCCATCTTGTGGTAATTCTAGTAAGTGTGCACATTGTTCATCACGTGGGAGCACTACATATGTCGACTCGACATAAAACATTTTCACATAAAAGAGTTTGTTGCAGTTATTATTCAATGTTATATTATGTAGATATTTGAGTACCCTGTTGCATTAATATTGTATAAAAGCTGCTGTGGTGACTAAGCAACAAAATGAAATCTCTGTGCATCACTGCTGTTGTTTCCTATGATCATTTGAATTTATGTCTCTCCAAAATAAGCACTTTGAAACTGAACACGGCGTCGATTAGGAACAATATTTGGCTATAGTTACTGCATCACTAAAGAAAATTTTTTGTATGGTGATGGAAGTTTATACAACATTATAGACATTTTTGTATGTGTTTTTTTCATGTGTTTGTGTGTACGTGTGTGTGTATGTGTGTGTGTGTGTGAGAGAGAGAGAGAGCGGGGATAAGTGACATGAAAACCGAGCGTTTGCTCTGTTTCTAAAACACCAATCTACATTCCGACATGATGACCTTGTGAAGAGCGTGCTTGCATTGTGTAATTTAGGGGTTCTCAAAGTGGGTTCTCAAAGCAGGCCCCTCCTCGGGGTACCGCGAGCCACTGATAAATTTTCCCTGGTTCTGCACTCGCCCACTCAACTCACTTAGATGGCAATCCCAAGGTGTGATCGATCTAGGGAACCTCCATTATTCACGCCCGAGCGTCAATAATCACATCTTAGTGCTTTTGTTTTTATTAAAAATAAACATGAAAAAAGCCCGCCTTAGGAGGGGGGGGGGGAGTTCCTTGGCACTTAATGGAGCTTAGCAGAGTTCCCTGGCAGCAACATGCTTGAGAACCCCTGGTATATTTCTTGAGTCACTATAAATGCACAGGCATTCAGTTGCGTCATAATTCGATGTTCTGCTGCGAACTTGTGTCCACTGGCACAAATCCAAACTTCAAGTAGTTTCACACACTTCTGTACTAAAGAAACACACACCACACGTTGGAAAAGCGTGTGAATGTGCGAGTGTTTCAAGGGATTTTCAAGTTGCGCTAAATGCACTTACAATAGGACGAATTACCTACTAGCCCAACAACAGGTTTTAATATAATTCAGTTGAACCTCATTAACTCTAACACACTTTATTCCAACTTCCGGTTAATTCGAACTCACGATAAGATCCCGTCAGAGCTATGTGTATTCCAATGGGCGAAAACGCCCAGTAATTTGCACGCGGAAGCACTTGCGATGGTTAATTTGAATATACTGTGCTTCGAAAATGCTCTCAGCACCCTGCCCAATCCAGCGGCGGCACCTGCGACACCTCAATGCTGCGCGCGAAGGAAATGAAAAGGAAAGGACAGGCTGCGGTGGAATGTTTGCTCTCTCTCTCAAATGCCGATCTGCAACACGCTCCTCCCTTTTCTGTCCCTGCCACGTAAAGACCCTTATCCTTCCAACGCTGAGCGCAAAAAGAGAGAAAAAAAAAAAGCTGTCGCTGGGTTCAATCAATGTGTGATGGAAGGAAAGGAAAAGGCACTATCTTCTGCTGCCCTTGCCCCTTGCGGGAGCACGGCTCTGCGCCTTGAGGGGGGAGGGGAGGTCTCTCACACGCCGGTGCCATGCTTTCACCTTTCCTGTTCCTGCCACGTAGCCCTTCACCTTTCAACGACGCGCGTGAAAAGAGCAAAAAAAAAAAACTGCCATGGAGTGTTAGTTTTCTCTCAAATTCCGATCTGCTTCTCTCCGCATGGAGACGCTCTTCCTTTCTCGTCACGTGCTGGCCATGCTGCGACCGCGTAGCGGAGAAGCTACGCAGTCGTTGTTGTCATCGTCTTTAGGAAGTGTCGGCGCCGGACATTTCCGTGCGCAACTTCTCTTGCCAGGAGAATGCTGAAGCCAAAGTAGAAATGCTTTGCAAGCTCGCTGCAAGGCAAATGTGTGCAGACGTGCATCACCGATTACTTCAATTAATAAGGAATGTCCTGTGATTTGTGAATAAATGTAAGTCTTCTGAAACTTCCCCCTCATGTGTTAGCTCAATGCACATGCGCCATTGCATTGAGAGCCCTCCGTCTATTTAGCTTTTATTAATTGGAATTATCGAGATTCAACTGTATACTGTAGTTGTGGATGGGGACAATAAGTGTTAACATTCCCTTTTGCAGAGGGAATTAAATTTATTAATTTAGCCTGCCTGAGCTCATGAGATTATGCTAGAGTTGTGGCAGTGCGATGTATTGCTTGTCTTTCTTATTCTTTCTTCAATCAGCCTGGACTTCATCTCTGTTTGAGTGCACAGCTGCAGGTGCCTGAAACAACCCCTATACCGTTCCCCCTCCACCTCTTTTTTTCTTGTTTCTTTTCTCTAGTACTCCCGCCTGCCGCAACGACTTGCTAGTTAATGCTCCCAACAGCTTTGAACTCCAGTTCCATAAAATTATGATGCATAGATGTTTTCATACAGTTGTTGCTGGCTGAACGTCTTTGTATTCCAGTGCAGTGTGTTGAGCTATAGCAAAGTAACAGGTGCATGAATGAAGCCGCCACGAAGTACTTGTGAGACTAGTGTCTTATAGCCCCATCTGGTGTGTGGAAACAGCATCGAATATTTCTGTATGTACAAAAGTTTCACATTAAGGAGCAGCCGAACTGAAGAGGTGCTGAACTGTAGCATACAATAGAATATCATTAAACGGAACCTGAAAGGAGTGGGAAAATATGTTCTATTTAAAAGGAGTTCCGTTAACTAAGAAATGAACAGGGGTGCAGTATGCAGGGACGAAACCAATCATATCACAGGCAGTTGTTCTATTTTAGCAGCAGTTCCATTTAATAGATTTACATTTGAGAGTCCACTGTATAGTTTAGCACAGTCAGGTGTAGGGAACGCTCCATGTTATTCGAGGCCATATATTTGCCTAATGCTTTATGCTCTTACATTTATGCACCACGCAGTTTGGCCCACATAGGTATTGTATAGTTGGAGACGTAACAGATGTAATCTGAAAAGCTGTATTGGCTAGACAATATTGCTGTGCGTGCTTTTAAGATCTTTCTGTAACCGGTCCGTTACACATACTACCACTGCTTTGTGCAAACCGCACTCAAATGTTTGGGAAACTTTCAGCTTTTTAGAATAGTCAAACAAGTTTGAGTGCACATTTAGAACAGTATAGTTTATTCTGCAACTAATGCAGCCTGCAGAAATAAAGCTGAAATATTCGAAACCACATGTGTAAGTGTAGATGCGTCTTACTTCAGATCGGATTACGAACGAAAGACAATTGTTCTCAAGGTTATCGTTGCATCGAGTGGGTGACTTCTTTCTGAGCACAAGTTTGCCCAATAAAGTGTTTCATCCCTCTCTGCCGGGATTCTGCTTGCTTCACTATCACAAGCACACCACAATATAACAATCCCTGCATTTACCGCTGCTTTATCAGTTATCGTGAGCTGTAACTGCCTGTTCATTCTAGTGTAAACAAAGATTAATAGAAAAATTGTTATTTTGTAACTGCACAATATTACATTTCTGTTAACTGCATCTGACTGTGCATACATGGTAACCATGACAAATTGCACATTGCTTTTAACCTGTAAATCATTGTTCTGCTTGTGCAACTTCTATTGAACTTGCTGCGTAAACAATGGCGCTTCTTGCTAAATTTGTAGGTCGTATAAATTCTGACTCTTGTGCAGCGTGTGGCATTGAAATACACTGTCGTGTCCGAATCAGTCCACTACTTGGGGTACTAAGTGTGTACTTAATAATAATATCTGGGGTTGCACGTCCCAAAACCACCATTCGATCATACGAGACGCTGTAATGGAGGTCTTTGGAAATTTCGACCATCTGGTGTTCTTTGAAGTGCTCTGGCATTACACAGTACACAGGCCCCTAGGATTTTGCCCCCACAGAAATGCGAAATAAGTACAGAGAACACACAGAGCCATGTTGTGGTGTAATGATATAAGTTTAATGTTAACGCACAATATTTTCAACAGTGTAGATAGGGCATACCAAGAAGTGGATCAACAACATGCATTGAGCCATTAAATCTCTTAATAGGCAGACATACCTACATCTTGTGCACACAAAAGTAGTATAAGATACATATTGAAGGGAAAAAAAGTCCTGTCGGGTCGCACAACAAGAAAACAGCTCAGCCAAGCTTGGTTGTAAACACTGATAGGTGGTTTGTACAAGGTTTTGGGCTGTTTTGAGAGAGCGAACTTGGCTTGCATCTGAACCTTTATCACTTGCAACACCTGTTTCATAGATGCTTTTGAAATTACGGTACTTACAAAAGTTAGGTTTAGTAGTATACAATAGCACCCAACTACATTAAAGAGCAAAAACTGTGCTACCTGCTGATCCCAACACATGCATTTGAGCACGCACAACTTTTGAGGTAGTCGAGTCAACCATACTCCAAAAACAGTTTTCACCGTATGGATTGTGTTCCCCTACCTTTGTGAAAATGGAGAACCAAGTGTGTGACATATTTGCAAGAATACATATTAACATGTTCGCTTATTCAAATCAGCCGTCTCAGAGGGCACTTGTTACATTGTAAAGTATGCCCTGAAGTTGAAGTTGTCTGCTCCCTCCTGAAGTTGATTTTGAAAATTTGAGCAAGCTCTGCCACTGAGCAAATAGGCAATGCGGCAAAGCCAGCCTCTATTGGCGGCAAGCATGTGCAAGATGGAAATGCAACATAAAAGATTGAAACAGGGATTGAAGCTGTGGATTTGTCATTCCTAGAAAATGCTGTCTTTTTATTTTTTTGTCTTGCAGCTTTTTATTACACGTCTCTAGACAATTTCCCTATGTCACTAGTATGCATACCACCCGAATGTTCTTGCAGGGCCCTTTGCTTTGGCACAAGCAGTATGTGCAACGCACATACTGTTTGTATGTGCAACGCACATGATTTTGTTTGCACCAACATTTTTCGTCTACATTACACGCATCACAACCTGTCAGTTATGTGCTAATAGATATTTTGCTGGCACAGCAGGGGTCAACAACATGTCATTGCAGTGGCAAACACCATATCACACTTGTCGCTAGTTAAATTTTTTTCGTTGTAACTTGCAACAAATTATTTATCTGTTTTGTACAGAGAAGCGAGAGTTTGTGCATAACGATAAACTTCAGTTCAAATACAAGACGAGCTTGCTCCAGCCCTAAATGAGAAACTTCTTCACAAATAAAAAAGTGAGGATCCTTGTTCTCCTATTTGTCAATGAATGTTGACCTGGGAAGTTGCTTTAACACAATAAATGGACACAAACAAATTTCTCTATACACATGCTTTCAACACCTAAATATACATACATAAAGCTGCATAATACTCATTGCATGTATGCGTGCACATAGAGAAAATGAACTTTGGAGAAAATGTTGACAACACTAAACGGGCATTATGTGCATATAGATGCCAAAAGCCCTTGCTTCTGGTAGGCTGAAGAAGCTCTTGGATATGTCGTAAATGCGCTAGAGAAATGCACTGTCTATGCACAGTCAAGTAAAGTTACTCAAACATCTCTTTCCAAAATGTACCAGGGAAATAGTATTCATACATTTGAGTTTTAATTGTAGCCAAGTACAAGTAGATGTAAAATAGTACCTTGTGCCCTGCCATTGGTTTAAGTGTGCTGCCACGTATAGGGCATGCCAGTATGAAAGAGACCACACAGTTATCACTCCAGCTGTGACTAAATCAGAAATAATGTGACCACACTCTTTTACACTAGTTGAAGTACTTCACTTTAACACTTTCTCGATTTGTGTGCAAACAGGTGGCCCCTTTCTCAGAAGACTCCTGTACATTCACAAAGGCATCCGTTCATTTGAGTGCTGACGACTAAATGGCAGAATGAATTGTAAACACCAAAACACCAAATATCTTAGGCTTTGAAAAATTATGAGGGAAACAACTGCAGGGTGATCAAAGAGCAAAGTGTATATTTCAAATAGACATTATACACGCTATGTACAGTGTGCCCAGAAGGGCAGAAAAAGGCCACCCGAGAGGGAGGCACCTTACTCTAGTAACTGTAGTAAATGCCCCGCCCTGTACGGCGAGTAGCGTAGAAGAATAGCTGTAACAAGGCGCAAACAAGATCTCTGCTTACTGCACAACCATCCTTTAACTCTTTGGTAAACAACCTCGTTCGTACTCTTTGCATTGCGGGAAAAACAACAAATGGCACGCGCAAACAGTTGCTGAACATGATTGGTGAAGCATGAAAGACGAAAGTGTTTCCCCACCCATACTCGTCGCGGTGGCAGTTGAAGTATTGGAAATTACACCGGCATACTTCAACGTTCATTAAAAAAAAAAGAAAAGAACACTTGATGTGTTTGCATCGTGTGAGGCCTTCAAATCATACTTGTCAAGATAATAAAATATAGTTAGTATAGATAAACTACCAGGGAGGCATAAAAAAAAGGTAGTTTTTTACACTGTGCGGCTGGCATTTTGGAATTGTCAACGTAAGTAAAAAAAAATTGGGCTGAGTGGTGTTGGGCATAGATGTTCTTCTAAGAACCTAAGTAAGCTGCTCCACACAAAAAAAAAAAAATCTTTAAGGCTTCAGGGGTGCAACACTTGTGTACCCCATTTCACCTCCGCATCACTTGATTTTCTTGCATGTGTCCAAGGTGCACGTTTTGCACCAGAATTAAAAATGTTTGTTATAGATAGAATAAAGGTGTAAAAAAAAAAGGTAATGAACATTTCATGAAAGTGTTGCCTTACGTGTTCTGTTTGTAACAACTCTCCTGCATGTTTGGGAGGAACAAGACAACCGATGCACCTGATATCCACATGGTCATGTTGACAACATTCTAAAAAAAAAAAAATCTCGGCAAATACGCAGTTCACCGGCTCAGTAGTGTCGGTAGCGGCTGGTATGTTGATCTGTCTTTGCAAAGGTCTACCCTTTTTCCTGCGAGGTTCCACTGCAGGCTTTCTTTTTTCCAAGTACAAGTATAGGTGCTGCTTCTTTCTCATTTAAGCATTACGTTTAGCTGTGTACAAGTCGCAATGCTTCCAACATATTTCTTGGTGGGTGTCTGTAGGAGCATTTACCACAGAATGCAGGCATAATACAACCTTTTAAAATTCTCACCATGGGTTCCCAGAAGTGGAGAGAACTGCTAGCTGTGAAGAGAGATGGCACAGCAGCATTTGTTGGTCTCGCAGAATTTCCTCTGCCCATCTTAGTACACTCAATGAACGCCTTGCGTAAAAAAACAGATTTCGACAACAAGTATTCCTTGCCACAACTTTTTTTTGTCATGGATACTGTATCGTTTCAGCTAAGTTACTAGTTCAGATTATGGTTGCCACGTTGCTACAGCTCAAGGTTTACAGTTCTCACTTACTTTTTATCTTTTTTCAGCCAACTCATCAATCGCCTCGCGCTGGGAGAGATCCATCACACATCTTCGTACAGCGTGCAGCCGCAGCACAAGAACAAGGCGCACAGTCACTGCATTCTAAATGGTGATGTTCGCCGCTGGCACAGTGCAGTAGGGCATGTCAGCTCCGTGGCTGCAACTGATCCCAGCATTGATGTCGATGATGGCTACCACGGTGCCGCAGATTGCAACCGCTGCCCCGCAGACCGCCAGCATGAGCGCTGGAAACTTGGTCCACGAGAGCAGGGGCCCGTTTTCCAGCTTTAGGTACGTGGCAGCCGGAAGGATGTAAGCCAGCGGTATGGCAGCCAGAACGCCCTGGCAGGAAAGAGGTTGGAAGTTGAGCGTGGAATATTAAGCCTTTTTTTTTCTCCTTTCTCTTCAGGTGGGTAATTTACAGCATTGTACTGCTTTACTACGACAATGTTGCTAAGTTCAATGAGCAGCAGTACTGATTGTCCTTCTGTTTATCAGTGCTATCTGTATATAATACTGTACAGTATGCCCAGTTAAGAGACCCTGTATGACAAAGTGGAGCTACGTAGGCCTTGTATCAAGGCATACCTATACGCACAATTAGCTGGAGCAGTTGTAGTCTGTGTAACTACTACTATACTGCATCCACGGTGTTGCAAGCTGCATCTTGTGCTTAAATGCATGATGCGAAGGTGAGTAGGTTGCACTGCATGTAACTTTAGAAGAGACGGTGTTCCTGTAAAGGCGTGGCTACGATGACATGAACAAGCAATCAAGTCACATTCATTCGGCATCCTGAAGTTGAAGCTAGGCTGCTTAATTCACTGTAATAAGGCTGTTTTTTTTTTTCTTTCGCATTTTCATAATAAGTATACCGTATAAACCGGACTATAGGTCGAGTGGGAATATAGGTCAACCCCCCAAGTTCAGGTTACCGAAAAAGAAAAAAAGAAGAAAAACAACCCTAAACTGCCGAACCACATTTATTTGCGAATTGGGCGCACCCCATCCCGATCGTTGGAGCTCCCCTCTACCACCATCGCAATTGTCGCATTGTCACACCATCACATTGTCGCACCAACTGTCGCACCATCGCATTGTCTTGCGTTTGAAAATGACCAAGGGCGGAAGCTTTCTACCATCTGCCGTGCATGCCAGCATGATGGTGAAGCGCGAGTGCTCATTGCCAGTGGACAGCAGCTTCACATCCTTGGTGCCGTGCTGCATGATCGTGGTCGACGAAGGCATGTCAAACCACACGGGGGTCTCATCGGCGTTGCCAATCTGCCCCATCATGTAGTCGTTCTGCTCCCGAAGCCGGTTTACGAAGCGCTGAAAGTTTATGAGCTTGTCCCCAAACTCCTCCGGCAACTTTTGACAGATGGATGTGCGCCGCTGGAGAGAAAATGCGACGCACCCAAGAGTTCGGTGCACGAAACTCTTCTCTCGTGAGCCCAGCTTCCCGAGCGAAGTTCCGCGGCTTTCTTGCCAATGGTATCCACGATCACTGGTAGCGAGTGCGCACGAACTTCCCGCACAAAGTCCGCTAGCTTATCCTCCAGCTGCGGATGAACAGCACTTCGTCCACGAAACGACATTTTTCGAGGATTGCACATCTGCAGCTTCCCTTTCTGCGCCCTCCAATAGCGCACGCTTTTTTTTTTATACACCAAAGCGGCGCTGAGCAGCCATATTCCCGTTCGCTTTTGCGAACTTAACAACATCTAGTTTAAACGCAGCTGAGTACTGCCTCCTCGCACCGCTAGACATATTCAGTGAACGAAAAAAAAAAAAAAAAGGCCACTAAAAATGCAGCGCAATGTCAAGCGGAGCGAAAACTCGGAACAGATCAGAAGCAAATCACCAACACAAAGAAAACAGACTGCGATTGGATTTGGATGTAGATATGGCCGCGTCTGGCTTCACAAGCACATGCAAGCCTTATGTTGCCAGACAGCGTCGCACTTTCGGCTAGACACCGCTATATAAGACGAGAAGCGACCTTAGCTTATTATTTTATTGAAAAAATCTCGACCTATATTCCGGTTTATACGGTAATTGTTAAACAGACTCTTCACAAATAATTAATGAGATTCAAGTTCTTTGTATGGCTGTGCCAACGGTAAAAAAACATCTGCGAGTTGATGTCCGAACATATAAGTGTGAAATAAATTGCTCGAAATCATTAATATAGTAATGCATTCACAAGTAGATCTATCGTAAGCTGCCATTTATGGATGAAGTGAAATGATGCGTTATTAACATCTTTCGTAACCACGTCATACAAGTAATGCTAATGACCTTACATGTGAGACACCTTAAGTCTGCTAGTGGCATCACTTCTGTGTTTGCTCTTACAAGAGTATATTCAAAGTTTTAACACCACAGAGACTACAGCTACAGTAAATGCAGCTACTTTGTTTGCAAATTGCGATGTAATAAATAATGTTTAGTAGCAAAGAGCTAAAAGAAGCCCTTCCAAAAACATTAGGTTGTCTTACATATTAATACTTCACGTTTGTTCAGAAACGTGTTTGTAGTGTGTAGCCATGAGTTCTAAACCTAAGGACAAGAGCGCACATTCGATGGCCGAGCAAGTTGCAAGCTTTCGTTGCTTTTCTATTGGCGTTGGGTCTTAGTGCCATTACATTCACACAACTGCATGCAGATGGCGATGTGGTGGAAAAATCGGGCCACATTTGCAACAATATTCAGTGCTGTTTATTCTTCATATCGAATAGCAGAATTTCGCTACCGAGAGTTGTTAGTCACCGCAGTAAATCTACATGTAGAACTCAATGGAGCACAGGATAAAATACCCATACAAGCGCACAATTAGTGGTTTGTAAACATTCAAATGTGCACAAACTTTTCGTAGCCAGTCGTCAGATAGAGATAGTGCCAGCACGATCACAATGGGGCCTCGGCATTTGCTGTCAGATATTACCTAAACATACTCTGTGTGCAAGGTTATCTTTAATAAACAGGTTGTATTTTTATGGATTAATATAGTATCTAAAAAGGAAACAACTGTCACAGAGCTCATTTTACAGTCACGATAAAAAAAATTTTAAAAATAGAAAACACCATCATTTACTTTTTCTTTTTCACTTACAATTAGCTATTTTCTTATTCAGGAAGAACTAGAAAGTGCATGCTATGAAACCTGCATATGCGCATGCTTGCTGGTATTTCGCAGCAGTGGGGTATACTTGGTTCTATGATTGCATTACGATGTATCGCTCATGAACAGATGATCCTGTTGACGATATTGGCAGGACCATCGCTCTGACCACAGGTCAAGACGGGCAATGCATTGCTACGAAATACCAGTGCTTGAGTTGATGGCCCCATGGCCAGTGTGCTATCTCGTGTAAATACAACAATCATGCTTCTTTATACTAACTAGAGCACAAAAGTGTGTTTGCAGTTTAATATTGTTTGTACTCAATGTATCAACTTGTCAAATTGCTGATGGGCTATTGAAGTCCACAGGAGGCTGATCACCTGAAGACTGGTCAAGCTTGCGTTTGTCTTAAAGAGAGCATATATTTTTCTTTTGCTGGTATTTATAGCAAATGCAGAATATAATGAGGGCATTTTTATGCAACTTTCTTGTAACATGGTCCAACTGTATTGCTGCTAGAGACTTCATAATTTGCCAGAATAACTTTTTTTTGAAGTTTACATTTGGTCAATACAATTGCAAATTATGCGAGCTGGTTTTTCTCTGCATTCGATTCTCTTTACCTTATCAATTGTGCATTTCAATCAGACTGACAGATGCCCCTGTTCATTTGTAAGCTTTATTAGATATCTGCATTGTTGTTACCAGCAAAAATGAGCCTATCGATTCAACCTTCTTCTCCTGTATAATTATATGTTCAACATGGCGTTTGCAACACACAATAAGTTGTGTATCATAAAGTAAAAAAAACATGATGAAATATTTTTCACAAACAATTAATACAACTTCATGGAAGGTATTCCTCAAATGCCTGCAGTTAGTTGCAGCTGGCATCTTATGCCTTCTTAAAGCTGTGTAAACTTTTTGTCCAAGTTACAATCTTCAATTTGAGTACCTATCGAATAAGTAACACACCATAAATAAGACACCTGCACTTATTTATGAAAAAGGTGAACAAATATTGTGGTAGTTTTCATTTACGTTGTGTCAGTGACAGTTGAAATAATGGTTCTCGCATATATACATCAAACAAGTATAATTTCACTCTTGCTTCGCAACACTTCTCATGTTGAGACTTAAGTACAGCTGTGCAGGCTTGCGTAGGTATGTGTTTTCACAAGTGGTGCCGTGCATTAATTTGTGCATTTTCCGAAAGTGTTGTGCTCGAGCCCAACGGTTTCAGTTAGCCGTTGTACAGTCTCGAAATGTGCCTTGAATGTGTAAATCTTGTAAATAATAGACATTGCTGCTGTGAATATGCGGAGTTCAGGTAGTGTAGCTTAACTATGGATTAACTAAAACTTCCAAACACATCTGTTTATTGCGAGAAATGCAAGAGCTCGTACCCTTAATCTTTTAAACTGATGCTCCATGATTTTCATGTAGCACAAGTAAAACTCTAGCGAGGCAGATGTAACATTTGAACATTCTTGCATCTTTTTTTGCTTGTGCTGCATGTGCGATAGCTTCGAATTTAATCTGTTCTCAGAGACACACGTTCGATTTCATTAGAGTGACTTCAAGACAGATGATATTTCCTTAGCAGGTAAATCCCGCTCAGTCCTGTAGGTCACGAGTAACTTATAATTGTACAGGCAAGACAGCCTACAGGACATACTAGTAGATGCCAGGAAAATGACACAAATGTCATGCTGTTGTGTAGTAAAAGTGCATTTGTTGTGCTGTCATTGAAAAATAAAGTTCGCAGCGCCTGTAGTGAACCTGTCACTGTCTTATTTTTGGGAGGATTTGAGAGGATGAAATTGAGACTACTGAAAGCCTGTAACTTCTGTCTGTGTCTTGAGACTAGACAAACAACTTCCCAACTTCAAGTCGCCTGTCACGGTCTTCAATGATTCATGTCAGGTAAGCAACAGAAGGCACATATAGCTTGGTTGTAGTAATTAGTGTCAAAAAGATTCCTGTGGCTCTCATACTACTGGAGCATTGACAATGGACTTAAAATGTGTTAATCGTGAAGGTTTGTTTGATCAAGCATTCTTAGAACAGTATTTTCTTTCTTTCTGCTCGTTACTGCAAGTAGAGTCAAGATGCATCGTCACAGAATTTCACAGGAGGTGAGAACGTCCTCATGCAGTATGTAGCAGCAGCTACAAGCAGATTCAGAGACTGTCTTGAACAGCAGTCGGGAATAGGAAGTGAGTCTTTGAAATTAAGAGGAGATAAAGTATTTAAATGTGTTGCTGACAAACCTTAGCACCTTGGATCGGCTTGTACTCTAACATTGATATAACAAACATGGATATAATGAATTATAAGAGATAACTGATTGAGGCATTCTTGGCCGATAGCCATGAGTGGTGAACTGAAACAAGAACCAAATTAAAAGCATTGGCAGAGGGCCAACTCTAGGGTCGTGTACTTTTTTTCATATGTGTCATTTGTCATCATATGCGCACCAAAAGACTTCACAAGAAATAACTAGACAAGGTGCTTACTTGTTGTGTTAATTTGTAGCTAGTCATTTCTTATATCTTATTCGTTCTTGTACGTAATAGGTTTTCAAAGATGAATACATGCTAGTTATGTTTTTACATCTTGCTCCATGTCCATATTCTTTGCTTACATGGTTTCGTTACTAGGGCTTGTAAACTGACCCAAATTCATACATTTGCCAAATTGAAGAAGTCATCATGCTAGAATCTCCAGTCCCCCACAAAATAGAGTATCATGCAAATCACTCACATTGAGTTCAAGGACAATGCCAAGGCAGTCAGTCAGCGTTGAAAAAGCGAAAGTTGTCAGTACGATAAACAATGTCATGATAATGTGCCGCACCAGGTTCGATGGAAACCTAGTCACGAAGAATGCGTTGTCTAGAACCTGCAAAAGAAATTTTTGAGCATATGAGCAGCTTGCACTAAAAGTGCAAGGCTGAGTTACAGCAATAACAGTGTGCATAGGTTATATGTTCAGCTGCCTGTTCAACCACAAGTGGGAGATGCATTGCTTCTTATAGCAGTGTAAAGACAGTGAAAGAGTTGGTTAAGTGGTGTTCACTGCAGCGCACAGTTGGCACAATTTCTGCTCAAAAAAGGCAGGATATAAGATGTCTTCACTTTTTCCTTCATTTTGCTAGTTTTGGCATTTGAATTGTGATTACTCATTCTTTTATTGTTTAAGTAAAGTATTTATGTAAAGGCCAATAAAAGCCATCTTTGCTAATGCTTGAGCATGCCTAATTATGATTCTGATAAACTTTAACAGCCACAGCATCACTGCACAGTTAAAGAACAGCGGCAGTTAAACATTTTTTATTGACCATAAATCAGCTTACTATTATTGAATTAGACATACACCAACAATATTTCATGCAGGTAATAGTATAGAATGCATGCCTGCCTAGAAAATGCAACACAAAGTAAGCACTTCTTTTCTTTGTTACTATTTTCGGTATCCTCTTGTCAAATTTGCTAGTGTGTACAGATTTTTCGAATGCAAAAGAGAAACATTCTTACCTCCCGCGTGACGAAACACTCGATGGGGTATGTCAGCATTATAGTGAGGGTGAAAAGTAGCCTAGCCACATTGGCAAGGTCATCGTCTTTGCAGTAGTTTTCAAAAAGGTCTCCTGCAAAAATTATTTCACATAGTGCTTAATTTCAGGCAAAGAAGTAGGTCACCAAATAACACATATTTCTGTGCTAAGACAGCATAACATGCTTCATTAAGTCCCAGATAGATATCACGCAGACATGCCATGGAGGACATCCGAACATGGGACCAGTGAGTTGGTGCAGTTCTGCGTCAAGAACAAAGTTTTATTGTTAAATCATATGTATAACTTGGCTGATAATACCACGACAATTCTTGACATATTAGGTACATGACGCGCAATTGTGACCTTGTGGCCTGTAATTCGACAATCTCATCACGGTTGCCGTAGGACTTCCAAAATGGTTTGTGACAAAAACGGGACGTCAAAGGGTATTTTAGTTTTGCTACATAAATGACAGCAACTGTTCTATCATCTGTGCTTGTAAGGTATCTTTAGACTGAGTGTTAGACAGTTATTCTGACATTAATGGCTTGCTGCATCGTCTGCTTCCTGAAGTGGGACATTAGCAGGTAGAACATTTGCTAGTAAACAACATTCCAGCACAGGTGGGGCGAGAAACCCCATATAAAGGGCAACTCAGGCGATTTTTCTTTATTCGCCGACTTCAATAAAACTGTCAACATATGGTCTCTTCGGTGGTACCTGATATGTGCCAAGTTATGCAACCTCTTAAACCATTCAGTTATTTACAAAACGAATTCCAAAAATTGATATCCAGCTGCAGAATCACGCTTGTAAAGACCGGTCACCCTGGTCATGTGACGTAACCTGCTTCCATTTCTCGAATGCCTCCTCACCAAGCATACAGATGCAGTACACACTTTTTTCTACGAGGCGACGGCAATGACAGCACAGTTCAGTTTTGTCAGCTGCATAGCGTGTTAGTTGTCGTTGCCATCAGGTCTTGCAGTAAGCACGCACAATACTGAGCATCAAGGAGGTTGATGTAGGGCGTGTCAGCTTCTTCACGCGCCGGTGGGTTTAAATCAAAAGGCGATGCTTCCGTGTTCAGATAGTAACAGTAATAGTGGCTGAACTTGTCACTGGTAAGTTCAGACTGGCTGACACAGCTTGACTCTGTGTCAAATGACATTGCATTCTTGCGTTTAGCACGACGGAAGAAGCACGCGTGCTTTTGTTGATACCCTGGTTTGACCAGCCGTGGTGGCATGTAGCGTATTCCGTGACGTCATCGCATACCCAGCCAGCAGCAACTCCCTGTTTTGGTTTCAGTTTTGGCAGGTTGTTTATTGTTTACTTAAAATTGTTGACAAATATCTCAGCAAAATAAACCATCCTAGCTGTTGCAGGACTGTTAATACTATTTGAAAACTACATTATCTCAATGTGGTCGAAAATGCATTAGAATTCTCCTTTAAACACATTGTCTTTTGATAGCCACCGCACTGCTGCCAGTCTGTGGTAGTTAGCCTAGCACCAATGCAAGGACACTACTGCCCAAAAAATATTCTACAAAAGTTCTAAGGAATCCTTGTATGCGTGTCAATATCTGTGTTCGATTATAATTGTGCACAAGTACTGACTATGTAAAGTGGTTACAGAGTCCCCAATAAATTTTGCTGGAAGCCTTCATGCCTCTAAGACCTTCTCTCCCCTCCATGACTTTAGGCACTGAGGAACTATTCATAGCCATAGCAGCTTTCTGTCGATACTTTTCTGTATTAAAAACATTTTTTAAGCACTTCAGAAAAAAATTTAAAATCTCAACTATATGCAGTTTTTGTTTGAAAGTATAGACAACTGTTGCAAGACTTAATGCAATTTATTTTATATGTTACTGTACAACTTATCAAGACGTAATGCAATTTGTTATATATGTTACTGTACAACTTAAGTTACCTGGGAAGCTATTTTGACAAATAATTGTCAATAGCACCGAAAATCAACCACCTGTAGTAGTTAAACACTCTAAAGCCGTACTAATGTGAAACAGCATATCAATTTAATAAATTGTACTCGGAGAACTGTCATAAATTTCACTATCATAGATTTATTAATGTAGCAGGAATTTAAGATCATAGCATCCGTGTTTTTTTTTTTTTAATTTTGTGCCTGAAATGGCATGTGTATATATCAGATTTCGAAGTCTATTTTTCATGTTTTGGTGACATTGGTTCAATGGATTCAGCCAGTTACCCTTATTAAACCAGTGGTTATCCTGCCTACATGCTGATTGCCCAGCCAATGTTGATTTATTCTTCTTGATTTCAATTATGGTATCATTAGCACCTGTTTGTTCTTTGACCTACTCTAACCTCCTTTCTCTTAAGGCTATTTTATCATTTTTCTTTCTATTCCTTGCTGCATTTTCCTTAATTTAAGTTGAGCCCTTTTTGTAAGCCTTCAGGTTTCTGCTTCTGCTCTGTAGGTAAGTACTGATAAGATGCAGCTGTACCTTCCTCTTGAGGGTAGTGGCCAACTTCGTGATATGAGAATGTTTGTCGAATGTCATCCACCCCGTCTTTATTCCTTTAGTTACTTCGCCCTCATGGTTCGGCTCTGCAGTTATACCTGTCCTATGTAGAGGTATTCCTTTACAACTTCCAGAGTCTCGTTACCTCTCGCAAAGCACTGTTCTCTCCTGAGACTCTTGCTTTCATTTAAGTTTTATGCATACCAATTTACAGACCTGCGCTTCTGCTTTCCTTGTCCTATTCAGTAAATGTGAGTTGTGATTGGTCCCTTGAGTTACCCATCAATGCAATATCATCAGCAAATTACAGTTTACTGAGGTCTGAGGTGTTTTTCATTAACTCTTATCCCGAACTCTTCCCAATTTGGGGCTCAGCAAATCTCCTGTTGCCATATGGTGAATATAATGGGCGAGATCGTGTCTCCCTGCCTTACACCCTAGTAGTGGAACGCACAGGGGTAAGGCAGCAGAAAAGTAGAAGGCAGATAAGATAAGAAGTTTGTGGGTACAACGTAGCAGCATCAAGCACGAGATCTGGTTCATTGGCGGAACACAGGAGAGGCCTTGTTATGGGCGGGTCCGGCTGATGATGATTATGATGGCTGACGAAATTTCCTGAAACTTGATATGTTAAGTGCATGGCCCGTTCAAAAGACAATGTACTTCATTTTTACTGATAAAGAACGGCACAGGATTCAGTAGACGCTGTGAAAATCTACAACGACATAGGATGCATCGCAGAAACTTCAAGGTGGCGTCTGTACTAACATTTTCTTTTTGCACGTTTTCCACTTTACCGAGCTTCTTCTCTTGGCAAGTACGGTGACTCGGAATTGAGGGAAAATAATTTACTAAAATGGGAAAGATCTTTTTTTTTTCATAGTTCTTCAGTGGCCATTCCATAGTTCTGGGCACAGCTATGGAAAAGTGGAATACGGGCTATGGTACAGCACACCAGGTGAAACAGTGAACACAAACAAAAGGACAGAATGAATGCTTGTGTTGTCATTTTGTGTTCGTGTTTGTCGTTCCACCAGGTGCCCCCTGCCATATGCCATAATGATAAACCACCTGCCATATGCCATAATGATAAACCAATCAGCCTACAAGTACATTTTAAGAAAAGTGGTTGTCAGGAGCCAAACGACAGAGCTTGCTCACCTTGGCTGTAGACATGGAAGGAGACGTAACCACAGATGCCAAAGAGCACAATGATGACGCAGGAAAGGGATAAGCTGATGTGGGTCACCTTGTTCCATCGCCGTTGAGTTGGGTCTTTCAGAGCAGCAAATAGCAGGAACGAGTTGTGATGACACATGTATGCTGCAAGGATGCATCTGTGGAAGTAAGCTCACCTGCGTTGCTTTTTATTATCATTTCTTTTTCAACACTATTTCATATTATAGTATTCAAATGCAACACTTTAAAAGCAATCTCAGGATCCAGAATGGTAAGATAGTTGGTATTGCATATATTGAGGTTCAGTGCACACGAACAAGAACACGCCAGCACCGTCTCCTTGAGTCTGCTGTAAACCTATCTAATTACTACATGCTGAACCTCAAAATGAGAACTCTCAGGATTGTGAACAGAGGCAACCACCCATGCACGTCATCTTATACACGCGAGTTTAGTATTTCTATTGCACTCTCTTTTTCCCCAAATTCTACTTGTACAACAAAACTGGTAGAGCACATTGCCTATCTACTCCGCTATCCTTTAAGACGTATTCTGAACGCTCACACACAAATAAAAAAAGCCTTGTGTGAATGATACAATTACTGACTACATGTGCAGCGATGTCTCACTGCTGTCATTCAGTCTCTACACATTCTGTGCAGCGCCTCATACGATCATACGTCAGAATTTAATACATGTGGTTTAAAAAAGCTTGTAGCATCTTCAATCGACAAGTTGCATCACTACTGCTTACCAAATGCGATAACACCAATAGCCTTTGTGATGCCCCTGTTGGCAAACGCGTAAGATTCTGGAGAAGTGGGCCTGAAACGGACCAAAATTCAATGTTTAGGCGCCGCACGAAGAAAATGGTTACAAAACCTCCGAATTGAAAGTACTTACACAACACCTACAAAGTTTCCCAACCGCACAATCACGAAAGTCAGGATGGCGAGGATAATTAATAGTGATGTCAACGACACCTGGTTGAGAAAAGAAGGCAGTGGAGTGAATTAATTCTCGAGTGAAGACTGGATGCGTAAGACTGCAAAGTAAGTATGAATGTACAGCATTGAAAGTTGTTACTCATTACATCTTTGCTTTGTTCGCTGGCCATATTGCCAGCAATAATTTTGCAATTTTATTCCGTCGTGAGTGCGCGCATAGGTGTGTGCATGAAGGAAGGGGGGCCATGTAGTTAGCCCCCATAAATTGACATAATAGAAAGGGTGCTTCGACTTAGGGGGAGAGGGCAAAGACCGTCTTTTGCATTGACATAATAGGGAGTCATTTGTCTCCGTGTCCTCGTCCTCAGTTTGCAGTAGATGGCTTTTAGGTCATATCTCCCCCCCCCCCCCAACGCACTTCAACCTTCTCCGCTGCCTGGGCCCTAGCAGGACAAAGTTGCATGACTGACGCCCGCTAGCTGAACTCAGTTTCAGTCCCCTGCTCTACAGCAATGCCATAAACCTGTCATGCAGTTTTGAGATGTTAATCAGCACAAATTAATTAAATAGATTTCTGTCCTTGTAGTGCTCTTTTCATCACAACTTCCTATTAGCTTTCAATGGTCCGTTAATAAGACGAAAAGATAACTGTCCCGTAATTCCATTTTGTTCAATCCCAGTTTTATTTATTACGTGTGCACTAAAAACTGTATATTGCGTGGTCTACGCTACAAGGTGTGTGCATAAAAGAAATTGAACTTAAGTGCATGCAGCTGTTGGAAAGCACAGGGAAAAGCTGTAATACTTCAATGTAGTATTCTTGTACTACGTTTGCATCTTTCTTGCTTTCAGCATTGGTTCATGTATGGAAATTTCTTATGTAAGCAAGTATATTTGTGTTCATTTATGCAACTAAAGGCATCAATGAAGAGTCAGTGCAAGAACTTGAAGCCCAATTATGTCACAAACACACTCTGTATAGCAGAAGCGTGATTAAATAATACAGCTAAACCTCTTTTTGTTTTTAAGCGTGAAGCTGTTCTAGCTGAGCATAATGTCGTCACCCTCATAACTTACATATTCATGACGAGTTATGTGTCGCAGAAGTTGGCTACAGACTGGATGGACATACAGCAAGGAGATGAGAGAAGGAGAACAAAACGTTGTTTGCAAAAACAAATTTCTCGGGAGTCGGTGTGACACTAACGCATGCACCTACGATCAAAAGGCAAGCGTCTTAATCACTATGCTACCCAGGCATGCTGACAGAACATAGTACAGCCTTGTATACTACCTTATAGCAAGTGGATATGAAAGAAAAGTGAGGGTGAAGATGAAGCAGAGGAGGAGAGACCAGAGTAAAGTATAGCATGCAAAGAATGAAAAAAATAAATGCAGGAAAGGAATGAAAAAGAAAGAATAAAAAAAAGGAAAAATAGAAATAGATAAAAAATGCCGAAAATTTGCACTAAGTCACACGCAGCTCGGCACAACGAAGGTAGTCGATTCCTAAGCAAAACCTAGTTATAATATAGAAAAACTTAGCAAGAACCAGTTACAGCATAGTATTATTGAGAACCAACAGACAATAATGCCAAGGAAAGCATAGAGAATATTATTAGAACTAATTGTAATCTATATTTGAAGAAAAAAAAGCAGACAAAGACACTTGCCACCAGCAGGTTCGGATCCTGCCATTGGCAACTTATCTTTTCGTCCACTTTTTCTTCTTAACATTTACAGTGCAATTACTTGTAATAACATCTCCTATGCTTCTCCTGGCATTATTGTCTGTTAGTTCTTATTGATATTGCATCTAAAAAAAGATCGAGCCCTCAAATTGACACTTTCCTTCAGTTACAATATAGCAGCAACCAGCGTTAGCCGAAAAACTTGAGGATCGATCTTCGCTGTGCCAAGCTTTGGGCGACTTAGTGCAAACTTTCTGCATTTTTTTTACGTCTCCTTTGAGAGGCCCATCAAAAGGCTGTATTTGTTTGATACTGCTTACTTCTTCAGTTGTGAGCTTCTTGTGGCTCCTTCAGTTACATAAAAAATTAATCAATCAATTATTCGATAGCTGAGCTCATATTAAATCGGCACAATGAGCACTTGCCTTGTTGAGCTTTGATATGTTTCTGTGCAGGGAAAGAGGCAGGGTGACAATCAGTGAGGCCATGATAACAATGAAATGGCGGTTGCTGAGGATGCTGTCAGGTGACACTGTAGAAAAAATAACAACGAAGAAATGCCTTTAGCAAGAATGAAACAAAAGAAACCCTTCAATTCAGTGGCCTAGGGCAACATGTTCTCCCATACTCACCACTGAAAACTCGCAGGAGCACCTTTGTGACTGTATCCCCGATTATTACATTGTAGCTGATCATAGCTGTTGAGAGTAAAATATAAGTTGTTATGCTCTGGTAATCAGTCAGGTTTCAAAAAATTAGGCTTTGCACAAGGTTGTAGCTTTTTGTGTGAGTGTATACGTGTAAGAGTGTGCGTGTGCAGGGTTTTTTTTTTTTGACAGATAGTACTGGTTTTACTTTTCAGTTCGTTTTCTTCTAAAATCTGAAACCGACTGCGAGGAAAATTGTGATGTCCAGATACCAGTTATAGGGGCCCTGCAACATTTGTTGAGCATGGTCAGGAAACGCTGCCGATCGCTAGTAGAGGCTTCTCAGAACACGCGAGCCAAATATTATAGTGCAGGACGCGGCCTGTAATTCACAATAAATGATCAAAGTTAGCTCATAATTGCGTTCTCTTTTCTCGTCAAATGATGACGCTCAAAAATCGCGTGTAGAAGGCCACCTATCAGCCATTGGCTGATTTGAACATGCCGCGCTTGGTCATTGCAGGAATCGCCGCGGAAGGCCGCGACCTGTTCACACGTGTGCGCACAATCACACGGAAAAAGCCACGCATTCGAAAAAAGAAAAAAAAAAGTGTTCAAGGTCACGCTGCACGCGTGACGTATTTTCTTTGCTCCTGCCATCTCTCCCTGCTTAGCCTCCAGCGCTTTTGCCGGGACGAGAAAAGAGGGAACGTGATTTCAGCGTGTGACAAATCTTTGCAGTTACGCTCGTACTAGACGGATTCTTAAAATTTTGTGCCGTTGAATTCGTGAAGCAATAAGCTCTTTTAGTGAATTTATTCCTTGGTTACTTGAATAAGTGCTTCAGGGCCTCTTTAACATCATAGTTCTATTTTCAACCCATGCATCAATTGAGCTATTGAAGCCAGTAGCAACATTTGCTTCAGACAAACCACTAGCACATTGCTGTATTCATAGCATGATAATAGAAGGCAGTGCACACAAATGACATGAACAAAAGAAGGTACATTCAAGACAACACAGTACTACTGTATTCTTACACCATAATTCTGTATAAATGCGTACAGGCATTTGAGTTAGCATGTACTTGAAGCTGACTGGGGCATTTGGTAAAGTTTGCATGAGTGTGAATGTATTTTGTGGCACCTATTACAGGCAGAGTTTTCCAAAATGGTGATACTATTAGATATGGCTTTTCCAATATCCCGCTTTATATTTGAGTATTGTGATGTGTCCTAGTTTGAATAACTGAGAAATTGTTTAGATACATTTTTTTATGAGCATTCTGGATAGTGCAATGTGTCATGTAAACACTGCTTGTCTTTTTGTGTGATCCATTTGGACAGGCCAAGCTGTAATATACGCTAATGCTTTATGTTGGAATCTCTTCTAACTAGTACAATCTTCTTATTATTTTCTTTTGGAAAGCACATTGTAAAGTTTAGCCTTAGTACGTACCAATGAAAGGATAAATAAACTGCATGAAGGTGAGGACGTAGAAGCCTGGCAGGCCAAAGGCAGCTTGAACAAGGTCCTATGCATGAGTAAAACAAAGTTTTTGTTTTAATAACATGTTACAAAATTTTTGTTTTAATAACATGTTAAAGGCTTCAGTGGTACAGTAAGGTGATAAAGTACCACTGTTAAAGAGTAGCGATTTAATAACACCAGCCACCACAATGGCACGGTGTTTATGATGCCTGACTGCTGACGCAAGAAATGAGAGTTCAGTCTTGGTTAGGGTGGTCACACTTTGATGGAGGCAAAACACTAGAGGATCGCACACTGTGTCATGGCAGTCTGTGTTAAAGAATTGTGGGTAAGGTTATCCAGGGCCATCCACTGCTGTGTGGCTCATAATAATAATGCGATTGTGGCTTTTCAAGCCCTGAAAATTATTACAACTTCTTAGCACCGTGTTGTGCTTTCTCGCCGGTAAATCTAAAAGTTGGTATTTTTTAAGCCTTGTGCATGCTAGTTTTTGTTATACCTCGCATAACTGAACAAGCTTTTCATTTATTACTTTATGAATCTCTTCAACACAAATAAGTGGAATATGTTATATGACAATAATTGTAAAAACATTTTTTCTCCTATTAGTAAATTACTCTTTCACAATCTCCCAAGCACTGCACTTGCCACGAGCAAAAGCTTGGTAACCAAGGAAATGCACGAAAAGAATATGCGGGTCGTGATCCCACCTTGAAATTTCTGCACTAGACATCGTGACATCGGTTTTGACGTTATCTACTAGGTTCCTAAGTCATTCTTAATCATTGAAAATGAAGTACATTCTCCTCTAAGAGTGCCCCTAAACTTACCAAGTTTAAGGAAATTTCGTTGAGTAGCATCCAAGCGACAATAAAATTGCCATGTTACTTTTAACAGTGAGTGGCACTGTACATCAGTCCCATCAGGCACTGACAGAGAGTGATCAAGTTGTGAATGGTTGTTATTGATAGATGTGACAGCTTGGAGCAGTAGACGTATGGTACACTGAGATATGAAGAAACAGCCTGGAGCTGTAGACGTATGGAACACCTTGATATGAAAAATGCTAGTGTATACCAACCTGATATGTTGAGGTGCCTGTGCTAATGCCAGCCTTGATTAAAATGCACAGAGAGTAATCCGTGATAGCCGCAAACATTACTAGCAGAATGAGTCCCATTCCAAAGCCAGCTTGCTGCAATGCGTACGCGATTCCTGTAATGTTACAGTAGACAGCCGTCATACTCTGTGCTGCAACAGCACTGAGTTGCTTTCTTCCAAGACATCTTGCTTACCTACAACTCCAGATCCAATAATGCTGTTGATGTAGTTGAAAGCTTGTTTGTAATAAACTGCTCGTTTCCTGAGTGGGAGAGTTGTCCTCCTAAGTGATTGGACGAAAAAGATTGCGAGAATTTCGTGAGTGTGGCTGTAAGCCTTTTATAAAGGTAAGATCGCAGCATGGTGTATAATATCCTTCTAACTTTAGTGCATAATTCGTGATGGGAGGAGACAGTTTCACAGACACATGCATGCACACACAAAAAAGAGGCAGGATAACGCAGGCAGAGGTATATTAGTCATGCTATAAATAATGCAAGCACATCATACCAGCACGAGCTGCTTTGTGTCAGTGCTGTCATCACTCTGGAAGCAAAATATAGAAAGTAGTTTTAGAGACTGTTAGATTGATTGCACTCTCAGGCATAAACACAAGACTGTGATTTGTGAACTTTGACCAGGTGATAAGAGCAGTATGTAAGACTTGCGAGACAAATTTTTTGAAAAGTCAGGGAAGAGCAACAATTCACTGCATAAACCATGCTAGCAAGAGTTGTAAGCAGCGATAGGTTCAAAGTGGAAACTGATAGATGAAACACACATCATCCAATGAATTGTCCCCTGTACAATTCATTCAACAAATCTTCCAGTGTACAATTCAATCTAGTGAAATGTTTTATGACGTGCTTTTGCCTCTTTTATGAACTAGAGATCTGTTATGAGTGGATGTGTGATTGTGCCTTTTTTTAATGGTATAATAACTGTTTATAAATGATAATCATTGAAATTGTTCTTTCAATAGACTACCAAAGATGAGCTTCCAGTGATTGCACATTCAAAATTAATTTGTTCAACAAAATACTTTAGATGCATACAAGACAAAATTGTGTTTGAGGACAAACAGTTAAAAGGTTAGCATTACACACAGGGTCAAAAGAAGCTCTGGGATGAACAGACACCACAAACAATGGACACACACACACTACTTACGTCACAAAGTATGCATATACACTACATGTGATGTAAGGTATAATAAATTAAAAAGTGCATAATTCAAAATCAGCATAAAGCTTAGCACATGATTTATTTATTCATTTATTCTGAATACTTTACAGACCCAACAGAGCATTGTGTAAGGGGAGCATAAAAGGAATAGATACACGAATTTGCACAATTTTCATACAAACAATAACATAAACCGATTGTTGATCATTATACGAGTCCTAACAGGAATAACAGTGAAAAAAATTGATAATTTTAATAGGAATAGAACGGCGATGAAAAGCAAGCGAATCAGCTCAATGTTATTCACACAATGAGTGATAAAGTATTGGGAAGGATTTAAATGGTGGAACCACATTTTAATGGATGCAAAATGGTAAAGGTCTGTGTACCGTGCGATATCAATGCATATTAAAAATGGTCGGAATATCTAGAGCCCTCCGCTACGGCATCTCTCATAATCATATCATGGTTTTGGGAAGTAAAACCCCAGATATTATTTTAATAAATAGTGAAACCAAGGCACATATCTGTTTAATATATTGAGTATACCATGTACTTGTGTTTTCTCAGAAAAAAAGAAAGAAAAAACGAGCTAGTTTCAGTGTCAGATACCAAATGCTTGATTAAAAGGTTATTTGGGCAGCCTGCAACTTTGTAATGGATATATATTTCAAGTGAGAAATGAAAGCTGACCAAATGTTTTAAAAAATAAATAGTTAGTGATGGAAAAAATACTTGTAAGTATACATGACTAACATTGATATGTTTTTTTTTAGACGACGTGGCCTTTCTTTTTTTGAAATTTCAGTAAAAATGCCACGAGATGCCTGGTATGTGGTCTACATGCATTTCGTTTTTTTTTTTAAGCTTTAGTTAAAGAGTAGAAATAAAGGCCAATATGTTTTTGCTGGTTTCATATGGTTGTGTCTAAATATCAAATTGAGAAGAGGGCTCTTCGCCAATTCCTTGTTTCATTCACACACACTCTCTCATGTAGCATGTATAGAGAAGCAGAAAGTTTTATCACGAATTTCCTAGCGTAGCCCGTAATTTTATCACTGACAGCCTTGCTCTGTTAATGATATTTGAGAAGATAATTACTCTATTTGCCCCGAGATGCGGCTAACAGCATTATGTTTGTTCTGTCCAGCTACATGTCACTTGCGTACTTTTCATTGCTGTAGTAAATAGACACTCCAGCCATTTTCGCCGTTGCCCTGACGTTCTGTATAAATTCGAAGTCGATAACATCGGCCAGCACGTCGTACGTTCAATGTGCGAGTGAAAGCGCACGTGTGTAACATGATCGTGGCTCATGCGGAGAGTAAATTTGGCAGCCGTATCTTGTCGCGCAAAACGGTCCTGCCCATCCTGACAGAGATTAGCACACGAGTAATACCTTTGTATGTGTTGTTAACGCGGCGATGTCAGAGTTCGCTACGAAGAAATACCGGGGTCGGCAGTCGTTGGTTGTGAGGTGAAAATCAGCGTTGCCCATGACAGAAAAATCAAGATGCATCTAAAATAAATATAAAAAAATCTTCGGTTCGAGTGAGAATCGAACCCAGGTCGTCTGCGTGGCAAGAGGTGTTCCAGCACACAGCCACGACACTTATTGAAACTGCAATATTTGGGGTGTCAAGGTACTCGGCTAGATACTTGGCTGCGGCGGCTGCATTTTCGATGGAGGCGAAATTACGAGAGACACCGTATGGGATTACGGAAATTTTGACCATCTGGTGTTCGCGCAGTACACGAGCCTCTACCATTTTGCCTTCATCGAAATGTGACCGCCGCGGCCACGGCGGACCCTGCAACATTTTGAGGCCAAAGCGAAGCACCTTAGCCGCTGCACCACCACAGCGGGCAGGAGGAGTCTCTTTAATTAACGCATGTAATACTGCGTGGCAGAAGCATAGAATCGCACCTGGCGTTAAAGCATGCAAATGCACTATTGTCGAAAGTTATGACCACTAAAATAAACCGTATCTGCATGGAAAATCGCAATAATTCTCCCCCCCCACCCCCACCCCCCCAAAAAAAAAGAAGCTCGAGTATGCTTACTATCAGCGGAGGTCCAAACTGTGGAACTATAATTGATGCTATCGCATGTACGTAGCCTCATGCTTGCGGCAATACTGCGACACTTTTGTTTTGGCGAAATTATATAGGTGACTGATGAAGTTAAATATGGGCTTATTTCGAAAGAGCAGAAAAGTGGGGAGAGGTTCATCCCCTCCAATATCGAAAGCAGCAGTAAAGCCCACACATTTACTAATGCGATAAAAGCACAAATATATCATTGATACAACTCGTGAGCTAATAGCACTTGTAGAAGCTATATATATTATGTGATCAAAGACCTACAACCATTTACAAGTATGCCATTCTATCATCTCCCTTCTTCCACAAAACAATGTCGAAATTGTTTTCATAATAGTAGTTTCACAAGACAGCTACTCAGCAGAGACTTAGTTTTTGTAATCAGTCGTTATATACCTACATTTTTTAGGTGGGCTTCAACTAGGCACTAGTCAATAAAGAAAGATAAAGAAATAAAAAGACAGGTACTTGTGAGACGCTTATTCAGATTAGATAAACGCATAACTCTTCGTTTCAAAGCAGAAGTAGGGACTCCGACGGACATTACACATTACGCTGCAGGCCTAATCATTCAACATCGCACGAAAAGCCATCGCCAAATTCACGTGTAGAACGCCGCTGTAACCGCAATTATGAACCACATGTGCGCAGACGTTATCTTTGCACCTATCTTTGAATCACTGTACCTAAATTCACTGTAAATATTTGCCACAGCTATGTCTTGCGGGGTCGAGATTGCTGCTTTTCCAAATCAATGTTATATTTGTCATGCTGCGGGCTAACACATTAATTACTCCCTTTCCATTGCCCAGCCCATGTTGAGGCAATATGGCCATTAGCCAAACACTCAGGGGCTGTGTTTTTTTTTCATCCTTTTTATTATTTTTGTCAAGTTCCTGCATGGGCACATATTACGTACATAATCAAAAATATGTGTGGGAGATGGCACAAATGTTTTTTTGAACGGAATTTTCTTGAAGATGGGGAGCAACTACTGAGTTATTGTGATGCGAGTTTAAAAGATTCTGAACAAAACGTTTAATATCCCCGACTGAAAATATTGGATTGGCTGAACTCGATTCCTTGGTGTGCGTAGTGAGAGGAGCGTTTCTGTTCTGTTCTGTTCTGTTTTAACTGTTTTGCTGTGGAGAGGTTGAGGTGCCTATTGCCTCGGCTACTCCATATCACAAAGTTCTGCAGCGAAAAATAAAATAATAATACAGAACGGTACCCAAAAATTAAAAATACGAAAAAGAAAAAAACATAATTGCACACTGAAACCAGTTCAAATATCATGCCAATACACAGTTTTCTTCGCGCAGTTCACACAGTCATAAACTACTAACACGCACACCTTACTAATCTAATGCCAGTATATACATGACCACATTTTATATAATATCCATCTCTGGCTGTCAATCATATGCGCTTGTCCAGTCCGGTCTCCATTAAAAAGTCTGTCAGGAAGATTATTGCCTTTTTCTGGAGATGGATCTCAGGCCATGGTCCAAGTAGTTTCTTTATTGTGAGGGGCCGTCTGTCCAAACTTGCTAATTTGTTCTTTAATTTTTCTCTTTCATTCGCGTATTTAACGCACTCCAACAGAATATGGCGAACATTTTCTTCTGCACGACCACAATGGCATTCCGGTGAGTTGGATCGATGTATCTTGTGCAGGAGCGTTTCGTCCTACTGTTTAGCTTGCTTTTTTTGTATGGTTACGCTTCTCTTGCGCGAGGGTATGTCAAGCGTCGGGCATCGGCACTAACACTACGGATGCGCGACTCTCCTCCTTCTCTCTCTCCAACAGCTCCGTTTTACTCTCTCCACTTCTCTCCCACCGCCTGCTAGCGCTCGCTCCCCAATTGTGCATGCGCATCCCCTTCTCTTTCTCTCCAACGCTCCATCTTTCCTGCCTCGGAACGCCGACGCAGGGAGCGTCTGCTAATCTACGCTTGCCCCCCCCCCCCCCCCCTTCCTCTGCTCTAGGAGGAGGAGAAAAACTTCATTCATCCCAAGAGGGAAAGGTGCAGTGGTGGAGTGTCAGAGGAGCCTACCCAGCGTAGGTCTCCACTACCCTCTTGGCCCAATCCAAGATCTGGTCCTGGACCACGGGCGCCGAGCTGCACATAGCAGCCTCCTACTGCTCCTTACTATTAATGTGTAGAGAATCAGGTGGTGGGTTTCGAGTACACCCCTCACATGATAGGGTCTAGGTTAGCTGTTTGTTGACAGAAAATGCACAAAGGGGAGGGGTA